CAGGGTGATCTTCGGAGACGGGGTCATCGCTGACACCAACTCCTCTTGTACATAATGCCAATAATGTTCTTATCTGAAGATAATATTCTTAATATTACTTAGCCAGAATAACGTAGGATGGATAAAGACACTCCTGAAGCAGAATAGAGATATCGGTATATTTAGTTAAGAGGTGAGATATGCTATGTACGCAGAACGATCTCCAAAAGGCCACACCGTTGAACTCCTGTCCACGAAATTACATAGTATACATGGAGAATGCATGGTATCGCTGAAAAGAACAAATGGTGCCAGAGCCAGGCTGCTCCCACAATCCCCCGTGAGGACGAAAGATTTACAGAGGAGCCAAGTGTCCCTCTTCAAGATTTCTTGAGAAACTCTGCATCTGTTTCACTGCTGCCGCTCTTTCGGGCATCATCCACCATGGCGTCAATGCCCCGTTCTTTGAGAACTTTCTGCAAGCATTACGATACCTCTGTCAGACATATTGCACGATTCGGGATGTATAGAGATATTTAGCATAGCACAAGGCAGGACTCACGTTCAAGCACCCCTTGTAGTTCTTAAATAATGCTTCGCAGTCATTGGATGAGGTGTTTCCACGCAGATATTCTGTTATGAGATTAGATGCTGCCATTTAAGCCTATAGTAGGAAGGCATAAATGCATACTTTCGCTATACCACTTGAGGAAGCAAGTGTCATATTTCCTGCGTGGATATATTAGCCTTTGTTCAACGCGAAGAAGCTATGTTCACTAGAACTCACTCTTTGATATCGTTACATTCGGGGGCGATAGAAGCTGCCATATTGGACTTAATAGAATAGTATAATAATATCCCGCTTGTAGTCTTCTTGCTAGTCGAAATTTGAGTATTTTCGAGGAATGAGAGGAAAGAAATGCGGCGACGACTGGAGCATCGGCGGAAGTTCATACAAATCTCGCCACTCTGGGAAGGCGGTCAGGGCGGGCCTACCATTTCTCCATTGTCATTTTCTCGCCGCGACTTTTTTTTTCGGGACCTTGGATCTTCATGACACTGCTATTCCGCGTTTCTTTTCCTCATTCTTCCTTTCGCCAGATCCAGTGAACTGGAGCTCTGCTAGTCATCATGGACTCTGCAGAATTTGCCCCGTTCCAGGACAAGTTAACCTCCGCTTTGGTGCAGGTGACTCGAACTGTCGGACAGCTCTCATCGGAAGACCTGAACTTCCATCGCACCTCCAGCTCAGAGTTTTCCGAGTCTCTAGATGAACAGAGTGCGCGCATTATCGCCCTGACCTCCGCCGTTATCAAAGCTGCCACCGCCGGCACCGATGTAACAGGACCAACCCTTAGCGATGAGGATTCCGTCGAGGACAATTGGCGTGGCGTGGTGGATGTGATTGACTCGCTCTTGGAAAAGGCTGATGCCTGCTTGGATGAATTCACCGGCGTGATTAAGAAGCTCAGCCCGTCGCAGGAAGAACAGGCTCCGATCAAGAAAGCGCCCAACTTCCCGACTATCTACGACTATGGCCCCTCCAAGATCCCCAAGCCGCAATTGTTGTTCCATCGCAAACCGGATAACACTGATACGGGCCCATTCAAGCCTCTTCTCAAGTCTAAGCCTCACGCGATTGTGCCGTTGGAGAAGTGCTTGAAGACGAAACAGATGGAGGGTGCGATTGGTTATCCTCACCCTTACGAAGCGGAGATTCTTGCTTCGGAGTACCCGAATTCGGTCTACCAGGTCTCCCCTCCGGTTGAGTATCTGCCGTTTGAGAGCACTACGGCTACTTTCGTCGATACTTTGGATGGAGTCAAGAAAATGCTGAAGGAACTCAAGCAAGCGAAGGAAATTGCCATCGACTTGGAGCACCACGACGTTCACTCCTACCACGGTCTTGTCTCTTTGATGCAAATCAGCACCCGGGACAAGGATTGGGTTGTGGATACACTGCAACCTTGGAGAGAAGATTTGCAGATGTTGAACGAAGTTTTTGCGGATCCGAAGATCCTGAAGGTCCTGCACGGTTCCACCATGGATATCATCTGGCTGCAACGTGACTTAGGCCTGTATGTGGTTGGGATGTTTGATACCTTCCACGCTGCATCCGCATTGGGCTTCCCAAAGCGAAGCTTGAAGTTCCTCTTGAGCAAGTTCGTCAACTTCGAAGCTGATAAGCGGTATCAGACAGCTGATTGGCGGGCTCGCCCACTTCCACCGGCCATGTTCGACTACGCACGATCAGATACGCATTATCTTCTTTACATCTACGACCGCCTACGAAACGATCTGATCGACAACTCCACTGAAGATGCGAGCCACATTGATTACGTTAACGAGCGGTCTAAACATGAGGCCCTGCAACGCTATGAACGTCCTGTTTACGATGCCGTCAATGGATACGGCCCTGGAGGCTGGTACGATCTATTGTGGCGCCATTCGGCCAACCTTCCCAAGGAGCAATTTGCAGTCTTCAAGGCTGTTCATCAATGGCGCGACGAAGTAGCGCGCGATGAGGACGAGGGTTGGCAGTGCGTTTTCCCCAAGCACATGCTCTTCAAGCTTGCCACGGTTATGCCGCTTGATATGGGCTCTCTATTCCGAACCCTATCACCCATGACTCCCATCACGAAGGAACGATCACACGATCTTCTGGAGGTTATCAAGAAAGCCAAGGTTGCCGGTATTGATGGTCCAGAATGGCGCGATGTGGCGCCACCGAAACATCTCACAAAGGTTCTAGAGGCTGCCGTCACGGAAGCTGTCAATTTCCCCATTGCTGAACGCTACGAAACGTCCCAATTTTGGGGCAACGTCTTGGAAGCCAAAGAACCACCCACTCCTCCAGCATATGCGCTTGCCGCCGGCGCTGAAGCTCTGCGTCTTTCCCTCCCTCTGCCACCCATGCCGACGACGGTCTCTGAAGCCCGCGACCACCTTGGCACCGCAAAACAACCCGCTACAGCACCCACATCCACGCCTACTCCAGCTCCCCAGGAGCCAGAAGAGAAGAAGTACTTCACTGTCAAAGACCTCGGCGGTCCTCGCAAACGAAAGGTCACCCCAGTCAACAATGCAGAGCAAGCCCTCTCCATCCCAGCCGACCTCGACGACACAAGCAACGACCCCGACGTCACGCAAAAGAAAAGCAAGAAGTCTCGCAAGGAGAAGAAAGCGAAGAAAGCGAAATCCGAGTCCCAGCCCGAGAGCGAGGCTCCCTTCGACTATGGCACCGCGGACGCTGTCCTCAACGCACCGTCTGCTGCCACAGTCGCGCACCCTCGCAAAAAGGCTTTCAACCCGTACACCAAAGCGATGGAAGCCCCCTCAGGCGCGCGGAAGACCAAGCGGGAAACCCCCGGCAAGTCTCTTACGTTCCGCCAATAGACGGCTGGTCCGGAGTCAAGAAAAAGCATTTACGAATGGGGTTCTGGTTGGTTTTCTTCTTTCCTGTTACTGTTTAGTTAGCATCGCGATACCCGTGCGTCAGTTGGAGGCTCTGGGATTCTACTTGTTGTATTGTACATGTATAGAATATCAGGTTCTTCTCGGCAATGAGATAAAAAGTGTGCAATTCTCGTAGATTAAATTAGATTTTTCTTTTTTTTTTTTAGAAAAATGATTTACTTAAAATCTATTTCTACTCGGTTATTAAAAGAAACATTGATGTCCACGGGTGGTCAAGGTTCTGTGTTGGATCTCATTGAGATCCCAAGCCGCGATAATAAAAATGAGACAGTGTCTCACTGAGCCCACAAGGTCTACAGCATTGCATGCTGTACTATGGGGTAAGAGTCTACATATGTGTATATGTAAAAACGACATCATCCCTCTGCATTGACCATTCCCCGCTATAAAAAGAAAAGAAACAAGTAAACAACGCAGGTACAGTGGGACCTCCGAAATACTGGGCTAAACAAGATATACCTCCAAATTCTGCCGGTTCTGCCAGTCTAAATCTCTTAATGTAGTTAGTGTGTAGGCATGTGTCAAAGGTATATACCTAAGGAGACTGCCAAAAAAAAGGACCTCTGAAAAGACGTGTAAAAAGGCTATCGGAGAAGACTACCTAAGAAGTCCACTAAAAAGAACACGCGGCTGACACTTCTTATACTAGTAGTTGGCAGGCGGTATACAGGGCGATATATCCAGGTACAAAGGTTTAGCCCAATATTTCGGAGGTCCCACTGTACTCTGTGCTTTACACTCTGTACGGAGTACATTTTAGGGGATCTTCTTCAACGGGGCCCAAAGAGGTATAATGGTGCGACGATCATGCCCACTTTAATGGGTTCGGAGAGTAAAATAATCAATTAAACATAATTATATGTACTCGTATAGACTCCGCCATAAGGACATTGCCGATCCCTACTATATCGCTATGATAGCAGCTGATGAACATGGATTCCGGCGTCAGCGGAAGGATTCCTATCAAATTAGCGAATTAGAGATCGGATTGCTCAAATTGGTGGATGTCTAGTATTTTATCCTTAGCTAAATATGTCTAGTGTCTCCATATATACTCCGTACATACGCGCATGTCCCTTGCTCTCTTCTTGACTTTTCCTTTCCGATTTAGTGCTCAGGCCTCGCTCTTTGCTCAGTAGAATACTTGGATCCACAGTCAGGAAGCAACACCGTTTTTCAGCCCCAACCACATGGCCTCAGTGTGTTTGACCCGTTGTTCCCTCAAACTAGTGTCACCGATGTGGTAGCCGTGGTTTCTTGACAGACGAGAGGAAAATGCAGTGGACCCTGTTTATTTGGCCTCATCAATATATCCCATCAATTAGATAACCTCTAGTGCTATTCTAGGTCAGTCGCTTCGCTTCTTATCATACGTCTTCATGACAAGATCCCCGGAGTATTAACCGGATTTCTCTGCGGTGCTTACGCGCAGATATTCGAGAAATAGCGAAGTTGTCAATCCCTTAGTACCGCAATCGACGGTTGCTATAGTGGACATGTTTTAGCCGTACACATCAATACGTCGTGTCCTCATGTTCATCCTACTATTCCGACATTCGGAGTCTATACGAAGGCTCCAATTCGAACTGTTCAACCGGAAGAGGGCCCTTAAATATCTCCTTAAGCATGTCCGTTCCCGGTGGGAAGTCTCGTTCCCATATAGGCTCACCATCCCCCCTCATATTTACGAAAACACACTGTCGAAAGTGCCAACGAAGTAGCCCATCTGAAACCCGATCAGGGTCGATGATGTCTCCACACACGGTATCAAGGATTCTCCCATCCACCTGGAATAGACAGGTGAAAAAGGGAATAATCTTATACCTCTCCTATAGATATATTGGCGAAAATGCGTAGTTCACGCATAAATTAGGTAAAATCACTTACATCTGGATTCACAGAAACCGAGTTTTTTGCTCCTATCATCATAGCACCGACCGCCATCAGGAGCATAGATATCGTAGCCTCCAAGTGCTAGGGGATCCCTCGTTGATGAGATCGTTTGTCCAGATACTCTCGCCTTAACGGTAAGTGGGGCCGGTGCAATGATCAAGGACGTTATTTAGCATGTTGATGAAGCCGGCTTGGATAACTAAACCATTTTGACACTGCCTACCTAGGCTGTCACCCGTTGGGCCATTAAAGAAATAGATATTTCACGTAGGTGACCGACCCTGCGGTATCGACATCATGGATGACGATATTCAAAGTTGATCGGCAGTCTGCCGTCCACAAGCGGGGAAGTCGATATTGTAGAGAATGCTATATCACGTGATAATATCACTCGTTCTGCCTGACATTGAGCACCCTCATAATAGCGAAGAAAGGAAAGCCCCACGCAAATTTAATTAGATGGAGTACATTACGGTTGGATTTTATGCAAGTGACTATGAATGGAGTTATGGGTCTTGATACATATCAGGGGTTGGCAAGTGATCTACAGAGCTTTGGCGCGTTTCACAACGGGATGGGATGCATATTGGCCCGTGTGAATGATCGACCGGATGATGATATTTCGAGTCATGAAGTCATGAAGTCATGTAGACATGTAGCCCATATTCTGTAATCTTAAAATGCATGTCTACTTCTGCATGTGCGTACTATGCATACTGCGCATACTACATGCATTGATAAGGGGAAGTTCGCGGAGAGAATCGAACTTGTCTCACCCCACCAACTCCACTTTTCTCCATTTACCCCTGAAGCAAAAAGCATAGACCAGGAATGCACTGTCTACCTTTTGAACTTATAACGTCCGTGTCGAAGGAAAAAAAAAAGCAAAGTGGGTTCAGTGCACCCCCGCATAGTTTGCTTTCAGAGGGCATTGATATTAATGATAATATATGTATATTGATAATATATGAAAGTTCCGGGATATTATATCTGGGTAATATGGGAAAAAGGCAACTTGGAACCTTGAAAGACTCAAAGTTTGGTTTTTTCCAGTCCACTGGTACTGCAAGCCCAACCCACTGGTTCAATCCGGGACATATCTATGGGACCCAGGTAAAGTAGGAGAATATAAAATATTCACTCAATAAGAAACCTTGGAATACAAAACTACATATGTACACATGTCGGATGTAGCCGAGGAGACTTATAGTGTGAGACAATCCATATTTATGTACTATATTTGAACTCCGTACATATGTACTTAAGTGGTATGACCCTTGGAAGAAGTACAACATACTGAATATATACATAAGTACCGAATACATTAGAAAATTGAACACGCGTAATTAATTGTTAAGGCAAACCTCGAGTATGTACATATGTACCGAGTACGGAGTACAAATGTTGGTATGGGAAATCACCTTTTGATTAACTACTCCGTTACCCAAATCCGAATCAACCTGAAACCAGGCTATTGTGTCAAGTAGTTCAACGCATTGTATCCATATTCATATACAACTATGGTTTTCCGATTGATACAATGCAATACAATATATGTAAGTACAAAATAACATTCCCGAGACATCCACATGGAGGTCTCGTGGGCTTAGCCTGAACGGTCCAAGTCTTTTTACAATATAGACGCAGGTACCGATTAGCCCTACCCCCCTGCAGAGATGAAACCGTGTCCCCTTCCTGTACTCCATAATACATTTTTATTTGTTTGTGTTTTTGATTTTTCTTTTTGATTTCTTTTTGATTCTTTTTGATTTTTTTCTCACAAGCCGTTAAGATATTTTTAAGATAAGAAGAAAAGAGAGATCTGACGTCAAGACGTTTTCTTATATGTACGAGTAAAAATATAGTGCACAGTCCGAGGACTTGGACTTGGAGCTAGCGCGCATTGGCCAAATCCTTACGAAGACAAGGATGTTGATCAACCTTGGAACCTTGGAAGATCCAGTCCATAATCTCCAGGAAGGAGGGTGTTCCTAATAGTGGCGAAGTGCATTGGGCCAGGGGTAAAAAGAAAAAGGCTCCTTGCATAACAAGATACATATCATTCCTAATTTTCTTTTTCTTCTTTTAATATAAGAATATTGTACTGTTTAAAAAGAAAAGTAAAAAAATAGTAAAATAGTAAAATAGTAAAAACAGTAAAAAAAGGAAAAGAAATTAATTCAAACAAAATAAAAAAAAGATAAAGCTGAAAATTAATTATTAAAAAAGGAAAAAAAAAAAGACCACCACATCATTGTTCCCCAGAACCGCCCTAACAGCGAACTAACGAAATAAATAATCTCCCCTCTTTACTTTGACCCTTATTCCCCCCTCTCTCTTCACTTGGATGATTCTTCTCTCTTTCTACACTGATTCGCCACAGGTACCGTGGTAAACTCAGTGAAAGACTACGGAGTACACATCCTCGGTACGGGTGTTTCTGCTTTTCCATTAACTCCCTACATTCTCATCGCAGGGTCCAACTCTGGCGACTGCTCGTCACCACAAATCCCACAATGTCCGTTGCGACGATGCTACAACCTGCATCCAGACAATCACGAGCATCTTCCTCCTCTTCCTCTTCGTTTCAGCCCGTGGCACGACAGAACACAATGTCGTCGCACGATACTCGGTCGCTCCGCCAATCCAAGCGGATGTCGGTCACGGCCTTGTACCTGTCAATGTCCGCCAAGGATCGAGACTTGGAGATTTCTGATGACTTGGCTCGAGGTACGTCTAATTCGGGCTTATTCCCAATGGTCGCGCTAATCCTCCGACAGCACAAAAGCACCTGCGGGATTTAAAGTCGAGGATTTCGTCGCAATCGAAAAAGAACTTCGTGTTAGAAAAGGATGTGCGATACTTGGACTCGCGAATCGCATTGCTCATCCAGAATCGAATGGCATTGGAAGAAGTGAGGATCCTATGGACGGCGGAAATCGACACATTCGCTAACCTGTTATCTTTCCGTTTAGCAAAATGAGGTCGCCAGCCATCTTGACGATACCGCAGACCCACAGGAAGGGTTCTTCCCAAACGATGAACGAACCCAGAAGTACGGCAATCTTCTGTTCCTCCTGCAATCAGAGCCCCGCCATATCGCCCACCTCTGCCGATTGGTCTCAATGGCCGAGATCGATTCCCTCCTCCAGACCGTCATGTTCACCATCTATGGAAACCAGTACGAGAGCCGCGAAGAGCATCTTCTGCTTACTATGTTCCAGTCCGTCCTCACCTACCAGTTCGATAACACTCCGGAGTACTCGTCCTTGTTGCGCCAAAACACCCCAGTTTCTCGCATGATGACCACATACACGCGCCGTGGTCCCGGCCAGAGTTATTTGAAACAGGTACTAGCAGACCAGATCAACGCTCTGATCGAGTTGCGGGAGGTGGATCTGGAGATCAACCCCTTGAAGGTTTACGAAAGCATGATTAAACAGATCGAAGAAGAAACCGGCTCTCTTCCGGATTACTTAGCCCGGTCTGTGACTGCCGAAGATGCTGCTGAAAATGCGCAGGTCCAAGCCATCATTGCACCACGTTTGAAGATGTTGACGGATATCGCGAATGGATTCATCACAACCATCATTGACTCGGTAGACGAGGCTCCGTATGGTATTAGATGGATCTGTAAGCAGATTCGCAGTCTGTCGCGCCGAAAGTATCCCGATGCACAGGACCAAACCATCTGTACTCTTATTGGCGGTTTCTTCTTCCTGCGCTTCATCAACCCGGCAATCGTTACTCCTCGCTCTTACATGCTGATCGATGCCACGCCCACGGACAAGCCTCGCCGTACCCTGACGCTGATCGCCAAGATGATTCAGAATCTGGCGAACAAACCCTCCTACGCCAAGGAACCTTACATGGCCAGCCTACAGCCCTTCATCCAGCAGAACAAAGAACGCGTCAACAAGTTCCTGCTTGATCTGTGTGAAGTCCAGGATTTCTACGAGAGTCTTGAAATGGACAACTATGTGGCCTTGTCCAAACGGGACCTTGAACTCCAGATCACTCTCAATGAGATGTACGTCATGCACGGTCTTCTGGAGAAGCACAGTGCCTCGCTTGCCCAAGATCAATATTCGCACCTATCTGTGCTGCTCCAAGAATTGGGTGGTGCTCCTCCTCAAGTTCCCCGCAAGGAGAATCGCACCATCACCGTGCCGTTGTTCAGTAAATGGGAGACTGCTCTCGATGATTTGACAGCCGCTCTCGACATCACCCAGGAAGAAGTGTTCTTCATGGAGGCCAAGTCAACGTTTGTCCAAATCCTGCGATCCCTACCTCAGAACACTTCGGTTGCACGCCGGCCTCTACGCCTCGACCGCATTGCCGAGGCTGCAGCAACCTTGAAAAATGATGCCGTGATGGTGCGCAAGGGCATCCGGACTATGGAACTGCTTAGCCAACTGCAAGACATGGGCGTGATTGACCGCTCTGACGAGTTCAGCTTACTTCGTGATGAAGTGGAGCAAGAGCTGGTGCACCTGGGCTCCCTCAAGGAGAAAGTTCTGGATGAGACGCGGAAGCTCGAGGAAGTTTTCGCGACTATTCGCGACCACAATGCTTACTTGGTCGGTCAACTGGAGACATACAAGTCTTACCTCCACAACGTGCGTAGTCAGTCCGAGGGTAAAACCCGCGGTGGCAAGACGCCGAAGAACCAGGAACTTGGCCCGTACAAGTTCACCCATCAGCAGCTGGAGAAGGAGGGTGTCATCCGACGCAGCAATGTGCCAGAAAACCGACGGGCGAACATCTACTTTATGTTTAAGAGTCCCTTGCCAGGGACCTTCGTCATCAGTCTACACTATAAGGGTGAGTTCACAGATTTAATTATTCGGGGGAAAAGGAAACATCATTACTAACGCACTATCCAGGACGAGCCCGTGGATTACTGGAGCTTGATCTCAAGCTGGACGATCTCCTGGAGATGCAAAAGGACAACCTTGAGGATCTCGATCTCGAGTATGTCCAGTTCAACGTCACCAAGGTGCTTGCACTCCTGAACAAACGATTTGCACGAAAGAAGGGGTGGTAAGGGTGCTATATGCCCCAGCTCCCCAAAGTCTCCCTTTGATGAATGATGAGCTCGAGCAGAGGTCCAACAACTCCCCCTATTTGCTCTGCCGCTCAGGTCCCCTTTTCTACCTGACGATCGACCGTGCCCTAGGCGCTTAATCTTGCGATGATGATGGACGCCAATATATGCCATGTTTTTTTCCATCCCAAATAGTGGATCGGATGATTGCTCTATGCAGCAACTGAAATCTGCCCATGCAGTTCGGGCGAATGCCCATTGTGAATGTTGCTGATGCACATACTCTTAATGGAGAACGATCAGGGCCCTCTCCCCGCTGGTACGGGGATGTCGATGATCCTGTGATTTTTGGTATATCCTTTTTGTGTCCTTTTGCCCATCTTTCCTGCTATGGTTGTCTTTTCCTATTATCTCTCCTCGTCCTTTGAATGTCTATACCCAGCGCATAGTTGTTGCCATTTGTTTTGTTTTGTTATTTCTCCCAGTTTCATTGGGGCCCCCAGTCCTATAATCCCCCGACATGTCTTTGTTGTTTTTCGTCACCGCCCAGGCCTCTTCGGTCTTCATGCGCTGTGTATAATAATGTCTGTTTGCGACGTGTGCTGAATGTTGAACTGTTTTGAATTGAATACCCGTTATGTTGTGAATGGTTTATTTATTTCTCCTTTATTTCTCGGCAAAGTGCCTAGGCAGATTAGAATTTTCTTTTGGGCCTGAGCTCACCTTTATATAGTGTCTTCTCTCAAATGTGTCAAATGCTGGTGTCCACTGACGTGCAGAGTGGATTCACTGGCACCTCGACACCGCCACGTCTGCCCCTCGTCTGCCCCTTTTTCTCAACTGGAATCTCCTGGGTATGCCTGGTGCCTGTTGAGACATCTAGGGGGATATTTAATACAAGATGAGTACAGATTTGGAGGTGGGAACCACCAGATAGGAAGTGCTGTTTAGATGCTACATACAATATAGTCCTTCGATAACAAATAACTCACCAAACCAGTCGACTTGCAAAATGATAGTCTCCTGTAAATCACTAAAAATGAATTTGACAGTTTTATTGTTAGATATTGTTCAATAATGGAAAATAACAATGGACGATCCCTAAGGATCCCCAAGGCTATTTTTTAATCTTAAAGTGGCCACTTACGCCAATCCCCCCTCCGCTTCCCGCCCTTTTTCCAGAACAACTCCCTTCTTCCCCCCTCGACCATATCCCATCAATCACAATGGCCACAGAATCCCAGCCTACCGACTCCAAGTACGACCAGTACGACTTCCCCACCACCGCTCCGGAAGCGCAGCCTGGCCACCCCGGCCACACCTCCCCCGAACAGGATGCAAAGGTGCACCAGCTCCGCGCTGAGCTCGAAAAGCTCGGCTACACCGAGCGTTTGGATACGCTGACTCTCCTGCGGTTCCTGCGTGCCCGCAAGTTTGATGTCGAGGCTGCCAAGGCTATGTACGTTCCTCGATTCCCGCCAGAGGGCATGGATGCTTGTTTGGGAGTTGTCAGAAAGCTTTCTATTCCGGGCTCTCGGCTCTCGGCTTTTATCGAGGCCTAATGGTCTAATTTGATATCCCAGGTTCACTGCAAGCGAGGCATGGCGCAAGGAGTTCGGCACCGATGATCTGGCTCGCAACTTCGAGTACCCCGAAAAGGAGGAGGTCTTCAAGTTCTACCCTCAGTACTACCACAAGACGGACAAGGTTGGTTTCCCGTGGATTCTAAGCCTCTATCCGGATGCATGACTGAAACAATACCAACCAAACAGGATGGTCGCCCCGTCTACATCGAGAAGCTGGGTAAGATCGACCTGAACCAGATGTACAAGATCACCACTGCCGACCGCATGTTGAAGAACCTGGTGTGCGAGTATGAGAAGCTGGCCGACCCCCGCCTGCCTGCTTGCTCGCGCAAGGCCGGCAAGCTGCTTGAGACCTGTTGCACCGTCATGGACCTGAAGGGCGTGGGCATCACCAGTGTGCCGTCCGTCTACGGCTACGTCAAGCAGGCCTCCGACATCTCGCAGAACCACTACCCCGAGCGTCTCGGCAAGCTTTACTTGATCAACGCGCCATGGGGCTTTAGCAGCGTCTTTAGCGCCGTCAAGGGCTTCCTTGACCCCGTTACCGTCAGCAAGATCCACGTCCTCGGCAGCGGATACCAGAAGGAGCTTCTGTCCCAGGTCCCCGCTGAGAACTTGCCCGTCGAGTTCGGTGGCTCTTGCAAGTGTGAGGGTGGCTGTGAGCTCTCCGACATGGGCCCCTGGCAGGAGGCTGAGTGGGCCCGTCCCCCCTAAGTGGGCCACTCCCAAGGAGGAGGCTCCTAAGGAGACCGCTGAGCCTGTTGTTCAGAACGAGGACCCTGGATATGTGAAGAAGGATGCTGAGGGTCAGGAGGGTGCTCAGACTAGCGCTTAAGCTTGCTGAGGACTTAACCTTGTCTTTGTTGGAGTTCCAACAAGCTGATTGACAATCTCCTTTATATGGCGACTGAAAACAGACACCCAGATAGGGATGTTGGAGTTTTATTTTCAACCCCGATCAATCTGAAAACCTCAAAAAAAATATTACCTGGTGGTCCGACAACTCCCAATACAACCCTCAATCTCCCCCCCCAGGCATACCAGAATTTCTCTCTGGCAGTTTCAACACCTCTTTGCCGATCCATCCACAGCCTGTGGACTCCTTTACATTCGCTTTTTGCGTTTTGATTTTTTTGTTCCGATCTAGATATCATGGAGAGCTTTCTGTTTTTGCTTTTGCCTATCAAGATAAGCAGCGTGCGCTGCCACTACTCTCAGTATAGAAGGGTCAGCGCGTGATGAAATTTAAAAGCGAGTTGGTGTGAAGTCGGTGTTTAGCTTGGTTTCTTTGTTGGTAGTATGTATACACGAATGGAGCACATATTGAGGAAGTAGTATCTAGGACACATGTTGGGTCTGTCTACATTGTACGATTGTGTGTAGCAGTAGAAGGAGCAAGAGTAGAAAAGTAAGAATACTTGCCTTTTCTATAGAGATACAGACGCCATTCAGTCTGAAGAAATGGTACATAGTGATTTCGACTCTAACAGAGACTTCAAGAATAAACAAGACATGGTATCATGATCCCTAGGACAAGCCCAGGCCTGAAACGCCCCCAACATTGCAATAACACCCAAACATAAAGAGAAGAGAACGCTAGTCAACCAACTCCAAATTCTTCAAAAGCCCTCACTTATTCATATTTTCCACCACCTCAGCAGCACGTCCAGCCCTCTCAGCCTTGCCTACCGTCGTTGCTAACGCATTACCCTCCGCACCGGCCTCGGTAGCAGTGCCTTCGCCCTGCAAACGCAACAACATCCGCAGAGCATCCTCATAGACATTCGCAATATCCCCACTCTTCCACCGCTCCCGCTCCTCCTCCGTCCCGAGCGCAGCCTGTAACGTCCACGCCGGGTCGCAGTTTCCACGGCGCAAGCGCGCCTGGGCCCCTGTCCGCGCTGACCCAGTTCCGTTCGGCGTAGAATCAACATCCATACCATCCGCCTCGTGGCCGGGTGTTGTGTTCTCGTTTTCATTATTCGATTGGGGCTGGACATTCGCAGATTCGCCCATTTCCGTATCATTATCAGCGTCTTTCCCGCCATTTCCAATCTCATCTTCGTTTTCATATTCCTCTTCCTCCTCTTCAATCATCTTCTTCAGCTGCGCGGCATATTCCTTCGCCGCACGCCTCGGCGCATCCCGCCTCTGCTGCGCGACAGTCGTATTAAGCGATTCCAGCTGCGCGTACAGCGAAGTCACACGCGATGCAAGTTCTGTATCGTATGGCTCGTACTCGACTTGTTCTGTTGGCGCGGTAAATGCTGCCGGGAAGGGGAATTGTGGTGAGGTGGAGTCTATACCGTTGATGCTGATTGAGGTTGAGGCTGATTCGAAGGTTTGGTTTATGTACTATTTGAGATTAGAGCCTGGAGGTTTGTAGAGGTACGTGTTGTTCGGGTCTCACATCGTCGACTAGCTCCCGGACGCGTTCGCGCATCGGATCGGGGGTGTCATTGTCCGTTGCGGAAGGGGGAAAGTAGAGGTCGAGTTTCCGGCGCGATAGAGCGACTGTATTGGCGTAGAGGTAGGTGAAGTCTGCTGGGGATTGCAGCTCGACTTTTCGATAGTGTGGTGCTGCCATGGTGGGCTGTGGTTGTTGATGTTTTTTTCCTTTTTCCCGCGATTTATTGCAGGAGAAATGGGGCTTGGCGTTCATCCCCGCAAACGATGTCATCGATGTTGCATCAACTTGCTTTAGGTTGTTCTTTTTTCTTGCTTCTCGCTCTCTACTGACTTTTATTTTCTTATGTTTATTTCTTTGCATAATCTACAGCTCTACGTTTTCATATCCCCCCTTCCACTGTGATATGACCCCTTGAGATAATGCGAGTGCAGCATACTCAGTGATATCCTACAGTGCTCGAGGAGCCATTGGGATGCGTCAGCACGATCTAGACATCCCATGATATATATTGTACACACACGCAGATCATGGAGAACTCGCCTTCCATTTCCCTCGTGGATAATACCGCCCCACAGCAACCTCCCGGCGAAGGATCTACACGGCGCACATCCACCCTCAATCAAGGAAGCTTGACGAAGCACCTGAGCCGTGCATCCGTCCAAAGTCAGCTCAAAAAGCGGAAATACGCAAAATGGCAACCCGATAGACTCGGTATCGCGCCCGACACAAACGACTTGCCCAGCCGAGAATCCTCCCAGGTGCGCGGGGACTCAATCTCAGCAAGCTCCCGGGGAGAAGGCAGCGGTGGCAGGGATGTCGAAACGGCTGACTTCGCGCCATCGCGAGTCTCGACTAATAATGGGAATGGCAGCGGCAGCGACCAGGTGAATGGAGTAGAAGACCAGACCAACGGCCGCGAGGACGCCAAATCGCGCTCGGAAATGGACGTTCTCTACGAGAACCAGCGGGGCTGGTTCTTTTTCGGTGTCCCACGATACTCACATAGCTCGCTATTGAATTTCGACCCCAGCCCCTGGATGACCCAGGACCGCAGAGCCAGTCCTGTTAATATCACGAATGCCCAACTGCCTGATCCGAGCTGGGAGTGGACGTGGAAGACATGGTATGTTGACATGTCTGGCGATACCGATGAGCAAGGATGGCAGTACTCTTTTTCGTTTGCCTCGTCTTCGTGGCATGGTACGCAGCCGTGGTTCCATTCGTTTGTTCGAAGGAGACGGTGGGTGAGACTACGGACTAAGGTCCATCCACGGCGGAATCTTGGTCGCTCAGACTTTGAGAAATCGCACATGCTTACAGAGGACTATTTTACTATTCATTCGTCCAAGGTCAGAAGTCGGGAGCAGAGCACTACGGGACTGCCCCGGGTGGAATCTGGATTCTTGAATCAGGCGAGCATGACCGTTGATGAGGAGTCACATGTCGATGAGATTGGGGATATACCGACTTTGATGCATGCTTTGAAGTTAGCTTCCATTGATCGAGAGAGGATTGATGCACTGAAGAAATTTATTGAGGTGGGAGGCGACGAGCTCTATTATCTGAATGACAAGGTGAGCTGAACGACTTTCCCTAATCCGTGAGTTGGGACTGGGCTAACTGTACTTTGATTGATACCAGATACCAGATATAATGCCCATGTTCCTATTCCAGACCTCCCGCTGGCAATTTGTAACATATCTTTCTGATGTCATTCGTGAGCTGTCCAAGCCTTCCACCGAGTCCGATAAAGACGCCGATGCAGTCCAACGCAAGAAAGACAATCTCACCCGTGCCGCAGAATCTTGCAAGCGCCATATCACCGGACCTGATGTCTTTAAAGGTGATCATGGAGAGTCAGGAACGGAATTGTTAGACTTGACTCCGATCGCCAAGAATGATACATTAATGGCTAAGCGGCCGGTCTTGGAGGAGCGTGCGAGGTCGATGAGGCGGGTTTTCAGGGGCATTCCCAAGGCTGCTGAGATTGACCATGAAGGTCATATTTATTAATGTATTAGAACTCCTCTGTATAAGCGAAATAGACATTATTGGGAGAATAATATACCTACATACCTCCATAGGTAGCGAAGTATAGGAGCTCACCCGGCAGAGCCAAGCTCCGGCCACCGCCTACCTGTTCGGCGGCCCAGCAATTTTCGGGGCAAAAAGGTCCATCGAAAAAACACCTCAAACAGCAACGCGCCTAATTCTTGTCTCCTTTCCCATTCATGTCTCGGGTGCCATTGGAGCATCGTCCCTTATGCTCTTGCGTGGCGGCCCGTGTCTAAGGAGGCGTCTGTCTGCCGTCTTGGACACTGTCGCGACTGGCCCCGATGAGCCTCTTTTGTTTCTTTACCCCCGCTGGGCTGCGCCTGCGTTGCAGCGTCGACGGATATCTTCCCTGAAGTCGATTGATACTCCAGCCAGGTTAGGTCATAGTTCTGGCATCCCGTTTCGCACATCAGTTCGCCCCTGTCCTTCGCTTTCTGGACACTCGCGCCAATGGATCTCCTCTGAGTCTTCCTCCCGGTCTCCCGACGATTCAAATCCGCAATCGCCCCCTGCGGTGGCCCGAGAGAATTCTAAAATAGGAAAGGGCAAGGAAACTGGCTCCGATGGTTTGAATGGAAGTGGTGGAGGACGGCTCTCCACAGATCAGAAACAACCTGTCAATTCCCTCGCAGGTGTCGAACACGCCCCTCCAATGAAACCACTGCGTGGATTCGCATTGACGAGAGCGAAGAGAATACAAAAAGGACGACAGCACAATAAACCCCTGGACGCCAAACCTTCGCCTCCTACACAGAAGCAACTTTTTTTACGAAATACATCGATTAGAGATCGGAAGAAGTTGCGGTTTCGAGAATATATGAAGAAGAAATATCAATCTCGTTCAGCAAAGCTCTACGACAATGCTTGGTTTGATACTAAGGAGATTCTGGACGAAGTACAACGCGATAACCGAAGAAATCCCAAGAAGAGTTTGAACAAGAAGGAGATACTTGTGCCAGAGGAGACCCTCGCCCTGTTTTCTGGTGTGACTCGTTATACCTTGAAAGAGAATATTTGGTACATCCCGCTTCATAATGGATGCCGTGTGCACATCCTACCTGCAAGTCAGAGCAAGGGATTACTCCGTCGAGTCATTTTGAGTGCCACGGACCATATTATGGCGCTGGTGGAAGGGCGTTTTACCCGCGCACAGAGCCTACAAGCTATGGGAGATCCACTTGTTGATATCCACAAACCACCGGTTCCGATGTGCATTTCTCGGGGCGCGGTGCAGCGTTCGAAGTTTCCTGTGCCGTTGATTCGTGGAAATTGGCATTTCGGTGAAACGTCAGATAGCAGCTCGAATTTGGACGAGATTTTGCTACCTCGTCCGGTTATTGCCACCGTGAAGGAGTTCAACGAGCACGTTGAGGATGTCACATCTGCGAGGCAACCGACGCTTGATGAGAAGGCCATGTCTCTATCAAAGCTTCCGCACGAGGTCCGGATTAAACTACACCTGAAGGCGCTATTCATGGAAGAAGCATACTCCAATTACATCTCGACTGCGGCCTTAAATAATGCGCTTGAATTCCTCTGTCGGCATGAGTTCCTTGATACTGCCCGAACCTTGTTTTCATGCACAGAGCATGTGGCTACCACTGATACATATAACATCCTGCTGCGGGCTGCTGCGAAGCGTCAGGATGTGGCTGTCTTTCGTCACATCCTGCGGACGATGTCTCGATTACACATGCGCCCAAACCCAGAAACATGGCTTGCATTGCTCAGCGCCCTGGTTGACCCCAGCGAAAAAGCCCAGCTCATTGAACATATGGTCCAGGGTGGTCACATGTCCAACCTTTCCACCATCCACAGCGCACTCCAGGAGACAATCCAAGATTCGCTTTTAGTGCATCTGGACAGCGGGAAAGATATAGACTCCTTCATCAGTCTCATGACCAATACATGGGGCGCTAATTGGTTCAGCCCTTCCGTGGTCGGCCAGATGTTCAGTGTGGTCGCTCGATTGAAGGATTTCGATTCTGTAGACCGGCTCATGGAAATCTGCATCGACAACAATCTCACTGTTGACAGTTATCCGCTCAGCCATATTGTGCATGCGCTGGGCGCGAACATCCACGTGGCTTTGCAGTATACCCTTCGGTTTTTCGAGCATCCTTTGTTCGAGGTAACCTCGCAAAATTGGGAGGATTTGTTTTTGGCCGCATTCAGACACCGCCAGTACAACATCTGCCTGGTTATATGGCGGTATTCCTGCATGAAAAGCACCGTGACCTACAAGATGAAGCAGGCGGTCTTGACATCCTTATGTCGCAACGCCTCCTTTGGCAAACCCACGAGACTCGACAGAGATTTGTGGAGCTCCGATGCCGGCAAGGTCATCGTCGGCATCGACACGCACCATGAGAACTACAGGCTTCCAGACTCCATTCTGGACGAGATCCCTTCCGAATTCCGTCACAATCCTATTCTCTACCTCATAGGATGGAAACCCAGGGGTGAGAAGCGAGATCTCCAAATCCGCCTTGCCAATGCCCTCGTTAAGCGTGACATCATCCTTGGTGCAACCCGCTATGTCCCCCAGCATCCTTCCCCGATTATGCTGGACGCAGCGTCCATCTTGGACAAAGAATGGCGTGGTGTACCGCGGCCGCTGACTTGGAAGATGCAGAACGCCATTCAAGTTCCCATCGTCCGCAAAGACAAAGACCGAGACCAAGGCAGAACCAAAGACCAATAATCTCCCAACACTCTTCCCTTTTGCATCATTCACACATTCTTCGACCTTTCTCCATTTTTGACGCTAGCGTGTTGCATGAATATCCTATCTGGCGGGCTTGTTTTGGCTGGTGTTTGTTTTTATGTACTCTAGTCAGCCTAGTTCCCTGTCACTTTGTATCTTATACCTGTACATTATCTGAACATATAGAATCATAGAGCTGCAATGTCCAAAATAGCATCTTCTAAGTGTATATATATTCATTCTAGTCGTAAATGGTACATTTCCCCTTTCAATATAACATCAAAATCTAAGCAATGCATCGAGGTCATTCATAAAAACATCGTAAGCAGGGCCAAAGTCCTCATCACTGGGGCCTCTCACTTCCCCTGCTGAAACAAGGCCTCCATGCAGGATTTCAGCTTCGCAAGCTAACGCCTTCTCCAACCCAACCCTTTCATTTATAGGCGCCGGAGACCGAGACCGTGACTGAGGAGCAGGGATGCTGATCCCCTTTACAGAAGTCGCCTCCGCACAATCTCTATATAAAACACCAGACAGAGGGCGCCTACAAGGTTCCCCTGATGAAGACACATCCAGCTTCGTCTCATTTGCTGCAGTTTGCATGTATGCAGTCTCTCCTTCAATCTCGGACGAAGGGGACGTCGAAGTGGAAGTGAGAAAAGGCAGTAGCCGGCGCATCTCCGAATAAGACGAATACACGGCACTCCAGCGTGGTATCTCATGATCGATTCCCTTTGGCAGAAAGCCGTTGACCTGGAATAGGTTTTCGTAGTTACTAGCAGTTTTCTGGGTGTTGTGGCTGCGGTTGGGCATTTGTAGCCGGATTGGTCTTGAAATAGCTTTGTAAGACTTGCTAGTATCTGTCTTTTTTCTTCGCTTCACATACCTGTCAATTGAATCTCTCGGGATGCAGCATTGATTTTCTTTGCGACAGTGTGTGCACTGGTTATATGGCAGAGCGATGTCGCATCGCTTTTTGCGGGCGTGGCAGGCTGTGCAGGCTATTTTGCCGGGTCGACGACCTTGTTTATTTGCTTTTGTTATCCCAGATGGGCTTCGGAGGTGTCGGATTGCGCCTGGATCCATTAGGGGCGAGATATTCTGGGAATATAAAACATACACGGGGGTGTGGCTTTATATGCATGCACATGTGATGATGATCCACAGTCAGATTTATGCAAGCTCCGGACATAATCCCATAAAGGGGATACTTCCCCCTTCTTTTCTATTATCAACATCTAGATGATAGCTTCTAATGTTAACTCAATTTTCCATGATCGCATGTTCTGCCAGTACCTACCCTAATGTTAGCGTCACATCTCCCCCAGTCCCATCACATGCTATCCAAGCACCCCAAGAGTTGGGACAGTTTCATATTCAACGCGGCCTTGAAAGATTCCAAAGCACTTTCAATTGCAGCTCTATGTGTGCTAGTATATGACTCCAACATAGTCGATTTCAATGTTGTCTATACAATATAAGTTCCACAAGGACGCCAGCTCCTGTGAAGTATATCTATTCTGGTCATTTCCCATAAATTATCATGACACGTCATGCCAGCACAGCTTTGACAGAGCAACGAGAAAAGTTCAAAACGCTGCTACCAAAAATCAAATCAATGACCCCATATTCGCATGGGAATGCCCTCCACATGTGTCAGGTAGACCGGGTACTGGTGGTGGAAGACCATAGGGATCAACCAGTGTCGTCCGAATCGAGCCCACACCTTCTTTGAGATAGAGCACAAGCCGGTACGCCGAGTTGCCATTCAAGTAATATCGGTGGAGCTGTTTGCTACGAAGGAAACCCAGCCGCTCGTACAGTTTCATCGCGCCAGTATTGGTGATTTCGGTTTCGAGGACGATCTGCCCAAAACACATACAAGTCAGCCCACCATTACCCTCGAGACTACCCCATTTTGGGGATCAACAGCCATCCAAGCTGTGTAGACATACCTCATCTGCATCCCGCTCAATCATAGCATCGATAGCCATGCGCACTAGCTTTGTTGCAATTCCCCGGCCCCGGTTCTCTTCGCGCACGGCCAGCATGGCGATATATCCTCTCAGTGGGCCGTCGCGGTGTGGCTCAAGCTTCGATACCACGACCCCGACCATCTCGTCCTTATCATCCATCGCGAGGAAACACAGGTCACCCCATTGGTATAGGAAGTAGCGGTAGACGTAGATGCTGTAAGGTTCGGACAGATCTTTGGAGATCAGCTGGCGCATTGCGGCGACGTACTCATTTTCGCGCGAGTTGTCATATCGCACGTAGCGAAGATCAGAAGCATTGCTCATCACGATATCATCGAAGTGGGCTGATATGGTTGGAGTTGACGGACGGTGGGATGTGTCGGGGAAGAAAGTTACTTTGCCATGTGATGCCGATCCGCCCGTTCGCGGACTTTATGCACTTCCGTGTTTTTCTTTCCCCTGCCTTTCCTTGTTTCTTTTCTTTTTCTTCAAATTTATTGCTTTCGTTCTTAATATTAATCTTCCAGGCAATTCGACCAGGTCCTCCCCTTCTACTCCCTCGCGGTTGGTCGCTATGCTCCGCCGCCGCACGGGCAAGGACGAGGTCCCGCCCTCCAACAAAGCTAGCGATACAAAAGCCGAGCAAGAACAGCCCCATGCGGAGGTTGTTGATACCAAAGTCACGCAGCTGGTTATCAAGCCTCGCAGTAAACGTCGCAATGGGTTCATCTTCATGCTGGGTGGGATCTTCGGCATCTTCATTGCCTTGTTCTTCGCGAACCAGCATGAAGTCATAAGCCTGGATTCGCTCATGGATCTGAATCTCGAGTCATGGATTGAGGCCATTCCACAGGGAATTGTGAGCGACGTGAGAGAATTCTCGGTACGTGGTTTCCAAGGGATTGCTTTTATCCCTACCTGGTTACCATCTGGCTGACTTCCAACGGGGACATAGCAACATGAACGCGATACCGTCAGCTATGATTCGTTTGCTGTTGGGTTACAACTTCGCGCCATGGGCGTAGAAGCGAAACACCCTGTCGTGATGATCCCCGGAGTTATCTCGACTGGCTTAGAGAGCTGGGGCACGGAGGAAACTTCGCGACAATACTTTCGCCGACGATTATGGGGCAGCTGGAGCATGATGAGAGCGTTGGTTATGGATAAAGCTGAATGGAAGAACCATGTCATGCTCGATCGGGATACAGGCCTTGACCCACCTGGCATTAAGCTCCGTGCGGCACAAGGATTCGATGCCACGGATTTCTTTATCACAGGGTACTGGATATGGAATAAGATCTTGGAGAACCTGGCTACCATTGGCTATGATCCGACCAATGCGTTTACGGCTGCATACGACTGGCGACTCTCATATCTTAACCTCGAAGTTCGTGATAAATATTTCACTCGACTCAAGTCCTACATCGAGACCGCGGTGCAGGTACAGGGCGAGAAGATCACCTTGGCATCGCACAGCATGGGATCCCAGGTGGTGTTGTATTTCTTCAAGTGGGTAGAGAGCGAGGAACACGGAAAGGGCGGCAAAGACTGGGTTAACAAACACATCGACTCGTGGGTCAACATCAGTGGTTGCATGCTGGGCGCCGTCAAGGGACTGACTGCCGTTCTGTCCGGAGAAATGCGGGATACAGCGCAGCTGAACGCCTTCGCCGTGTATGGATTGGAGAAATTCCTATCGAAAGAGGAACGCGCGGAGATCTTCCGCGCGATGCCCGGTATCTCCAGCATGCTACCAAAGGGTGGTGAGGCCATATGGGGGAACTCGACCTGGGCACCGGATGACCAACCAGGCCAGACCCTGACCTTTGGCAACCTGCTCCATTTCCACGAGACCAACTCATCCTTGACACAACGCAATCTCACCACACCAGAGAGTCTTCAGTACCTCCTGGACCAGAGCGAGGATTGGTACCGGAAGCAGGTCCTGAACAGCTACTCGCACGGCGTCGCGCATACGAAACGCGAGGTCGAAGCCAACGAGAAGGACCCGCGCACCTGGCTTAATCCTCTAGAGTCCCGTCTGCCCCTCGCCCCAGACATGAAGATATATTGCTTCTATGGCGTGGGCAAACCCACAGAGCGCAGCTACTTCTATCAGGAAGAGCCCGACCCACTAGTTAACCTCAAGGTCAGCATGGACACCACCATCACCAACAGCGAGGGGGTCGACCACGGCGTATTGATGGGTGAGGGCGATGGCACCGTGAACTTGCTTAGCACAGGGTATATGTGCGCCAAAGGCTGGCGCATGAAGCGTTATAACCCAGCCGGCACGAAGATCAAGGTCTTTGAGATGCCTCACGAGCCTGATCGTTTCTCGCCCCGCGGTGGTCCCAACACTGGTATGTTCTTCTTTCCTCCCTTGCCTACCTTTTCCCCCACGATATATGACAGGCGACTAACTTGATATAGGTGATCACGTGGATATCCTAGGCCGTGCCTCACTCAACGACCTCCTTCTCCGTGTCGCTGGCGGCAAAGGCGATTTAATCGAAGAGACTTTCGTCTCCAGAATCCGCGAGTATGCGGATCGTGTACAAATCTTTGACGATGAATAGGTCAACTGGGCTCCCTTACGACTGTTCTGAATAATTGTTTTATTTGGCTTGCGTTTTGACACACACCCGTGGACACATATGTACCTCTTTTTAGACACCTGGGATTTCTCCTAGACGGATGGGGTTTTGTTTATGAGCCAGCATTTTTGTACATCTTTTTATGACAGACCCTTATATGAATATAATATGTATGTATATTCTTTTCTTCTTTTCTATGGCAACACGTATTTAGTTCGATTATAGCTTATGATACCCAAACAAGCCATCTCAGCAAGTGCATACATAAATTCCAGCCACTTCTTGTATCACGGATAAACGCGGATACAGCTTCTTACCTCGCCCTAAAAATAGGGAACTTAATGCAAGCTACCACCTGGACAGCAACTGGTCCCGTGTGATCGACGAAGTGGACTCTCTATTGGCCCATATGATATGCAAGGACCGCAAGATGCCCCGTCTACTGCGTGGATCAACGGTCTTGATCACACCGGGCTTGCCAGTTCTCTTCATGGAGGGGATGAAGGTTCGAATAGCTGGAATGATGTATACGGAGTAATACAAGATTTAATATGTACAATAACAAAGCCCAAAGGTTGTAAATAATGTAATGTACAATGATACATTCATACGCTAGTGATTAAAAATAATGCTAGCAATACCCAACAGGTTCCCACCGCCCCCAGAAGTAATGATAACATGCACACGACCCAATCCAGGTCATATCGAGGTTGTCACGGGAGGCGTAGATGCAATAGGTTGTCGGATCAGCTTCATCCTCGATAGTCAGAAGCGAAGAGAATGGGGCAAGCTCGAGGGCGGGGAGATGGCCTCCGTCAAAAGTACCGAAATCCCCTTCACCCTAGCTGCCATGGCCGCTCGAGCTCTGAAAACATGAGCTCCGGCTTTCGGTGTCCCTCTGTCGTTTCCTCGGATCTTTTCGTGTTGAATCCGCACGGAAAGAATCCACGCAATATCGAAGCCGCTTATCACCTGCCAGGCGGCGTAGACACAGAGGGTAGATCGAGACGATCATTTTAAAACCCCCTTTAATGTGTCGATGCAAATGTCGTAAAACAGCCAATATTCAAAAATCCTTCTAGTGCACAGCGAGTGATGGTGCAGCAAAAAGCGCCGAAACTTTTCATCTCCCCAAAAAAACAGGTTGAAGTTCCCAGGCGCCTATGACGAGCGAGCGACACGAATGGTAAAAATATTTGTTCATCTGGACGAGCCGAAAGCAAAGAATAAAGGTGGCTCGCCCAGTTCATAAAGTCGTAGCGAAAGACATGGGTCAGAAAAATAAAGGGGATCGCCCGAGGGCGCCCAAGAATGTGTACAAGCGAAGGTTGGCGGTGGCGGTGCGGGGGATTGGCGAATGCAGGCAAGTGAACAAGGCCCGATCCCTTGCGCCACCGATATTAATATTATAGACGGAGTTGCCAGCCCCAAGTGGGGTGGCGAGGCATGTACAGCCAGAAGGTGAGGAGTACCTTCAGCTCGAGGCGGATATACCGCGCGAACCGGAGGTTTTATTAAAAACCTTAAGGTGTCGAAGATTGCTCGATGCAGATAATGTTCCCAAACATTGTCGTCAAACATAACGCCGATTCAAAAGTAGATGCAAGAATGGACTGCGCCGAGCCACATGTGCAAGTGAAGCTCGAGGATTAGCGTCCAGCCTCGATGTCGTGATTCGAGGTGAGAGTTTCGCTTTCCCAGGTGTAATGATCGTCTACGGGGCTCAGAGAGCCCGAGGAAACGGACGAAGAAGATCCCACGGTCCACTCGTCGCTGTCCAAGTTGAAATCGCCATCTAGGCTGGCAAGATCATACCCGAATTCGCGAGAAGAGTCACCGATCTCAACGTAGTCGTAGTCCCAGCGGAACATCTTGTCGGCCTGGACTCGAGGCAGGAACCGGGTCTTGGCAAAGTAGAAGGCAACTGTGGCAAGGAGACCACCGCAGACCAGATCGACTGCGTAGTGGTGAGAAAGATACATGGTAGCCCACCACATCCACAGAGTGTAGGTAACCCAGAGGGGCTTCAATCGCGGGAAGACGTGGCTCATGAACAGTGCTGCCAAGGTGGAGTCGGCAGCATGGAGCGAAGGGAATGCACCGAAAACAACAGGGGATTGCTTGAAGCCCGAAGTGTAGAGATCAATACCCAGCAGCTTGTCAATGCGAGCAAGACCAGCTGGGTTTCCTTGCATGGAATAGTCGGCTGGGGCCAAGCCATACAGATTTTCGTACCAGGGTGGCGAGCATGGGAAAGCTAGCTGAATGAAGACGGCGATCATGCTGATGTATCCGAGAGTCCGGGCGTACAGAGGGGTAGTTCCCGGGGGGCCGAAGAAGAAAAGGATCAGTGAAACGACGAATGGCGCTCCGTAATGGCAGAGTCCGTAGGGAATCCATGCCAGAATGTCAAGCACCACATTTTGGTGGGCGGATAGGATGTTGCTGATGTTGGCACCGTACAGGATGTTTTCCATGGCTGGCAACACTCGGACCCAAATAGCGGGCCGCCAATCGCTTGGGACGAACCTAGAGAAACAGCTGTTAGCTATGTCCACATCCCCGCACATCTTGCTCACGCCCACAAGGCCATGTCAGGCGCTCTGCTGGAATAAACCTAAGAGAAATCAAAACTCACTGGCATCCATAGAAGAAGATTAGCCACCCAGCAACGGGAAGGAAAGGCAAGAAGAATTGCCGGGTGATTGGCATAAGAAGGGAGCACAACAGTCCAGTGGCGATCGCCGTCTTTCCCAGTGGACCGGGAGATTGGATAATTGTCAAGGAGAAAAAGCCGATGATGAGGAGCAATAAGTATTGGAAGTCATATACTGTCCACCGGTGTGCCTGTAAGGATCTGAGGGTGTCGGCAGGCGAGAAGGAGGTCTGCAACCTCGATATGGACGAGGTGGGTGAGAGGCGGCTCCGGAGCTTGGACCGGAGCTTGCGACGCATGCGATGTGGCACCAGGAGCTGGAATGAGCGCCATGGCACTTGGATCTGGAGCTTTCCGAACTGATTCTGCGTGCGATCTTTCCATGACGGATAGGAGGCGCTCATATTCGCGGCGACTCTCCTCCAGGAGGGTCCGGATCACTTTGGAAAAGGGGTGGTTGAGACTTCAATGAATGCCGGACTAGACGGAAGGAAGTCGCGTAACGGAAGGAGGTTTATCGTTGGCCAGGAGTGAGGCTCATGGAAAGTTGAGTTGGGCCGATAGGAAGGCGAAGGATAGGGCCGAGGGCGTGAGTCCCAGGGAACTCAGGAGGTCACGTTGACAAGGGTCGGGATGCAAGGAGAAAATGGCGATAAAACCCAGGATGAACAGGACTCAAGAAACCCAAGGAGACCACTTGAGAAGCCCTGAAACGGAGATATTATGAATTAAAGAAGAGAGATGAGAGGAGGAAGAAGAAAAGACCTGGATTTCATCCATGGGAACTTGAAGTATTGTTGTATTGGTATTACCTGCATCTAAGTTTTGGGTGTAATTTTCTTGGTATGATTACATTTCATGTCTGTAAAATGCTACTTGACCTATTCGATGCGTCTATGGCGTCACTAGTTTTGGTTTTAGCTTATATTTTATCTTTGATCCCTTTTTCAGGTACGGCGCAAAAAATAAGTATTGTCTAATTGTTCATCTCATTTCTATTGCAATTCTGACCGGAGCCCTCGGCAGTATTCGTTAATACAGTGGACATCCGGTCTGAGAACTTGATCGGAAGCCACGGATGCCGCGGAGATCACATTGTGATTTCTAGGCATATCTCGGACTTTGTTATGCCAATGGTCCGACACGTTAGGTTTTTATGCAGATGACTCCGAGATTCCCGATGATACGTCTACAATTTGTATAACTTATATATATTGGGTATATGTATCGATATAGCGTGATGCTATATCGATGCTATATCGATCTTGAGACTTGGTGATTTTGAATTTTCTTTTTTAAAAAAAATCAATGGAATTCATTATTAAATGTAGTCCAAAATTACCGCTGGGACCCAAATTTTCGCAAATTTTCCATATAAGATCCATCATCGAAGTCTGATTGGCTGATTCTCCATTGCCCCCATCGATCTAGTCCCGGTATTGAAATCCATCCGAACTGTCTAATTTCGCTTATGCACAGCTTGTAACATCTCAGCTCAACCGTCGTCCTGGTGATTCAAAATAGCACTCTGTATGTTGTACCTCATATTAAGGCTGGCCAACGGCCCACATCTAGATGTTATACGAAGTACTCTACTAGTATATACTCCGTATTGTAGTTGGTAGTTAGGCATTGACATTAAATTGCCCCAGTTAAGTGGCTCAGCCACATACTTGATAGTCACAAGCTAAACCGGATAGGAGAAAAAAAAACATAAGTCTGACACTATTAGGGCCGTTTTATATGGGGCCAGCGCTTACATAGATGAGGATGTGCAGCTTGGCCTCAGGGGATAATAACACCCCTCCTTGACTCCTTTAGGGGATACCAGCCTCCTGATTTCGACCAGTCAACAACATCTCGTAAAAAGAAATAATGAAACTGCACGAAAAGGAACAGCTGTGATTGAATATACTTTCCACCCCTTGACTCTCGTACACAGCGTTTCAGAGTTCAAGTGTCGCGCGACCGCAGCCAACCACCCCTTGACCTCATCTCCAATCCAGCGTCAAAGCTGAGCATCTTACAATATAGGCAGTACTCCGTAAACTGTAGGTATGCCGAGGCTTTTTATTACAATATTGTTGACTATGTATTCATCTTTCGAACCTAACTTCGTATTCGTATCTGGAGGCGGCTGCCTAGAGTGGGCTTACCTAGGTAGAAGTGATGCAAGGCTGATGTGTGTGTGTGTGTGTGTGTGTGTTGAGCTGCGCCACAGATATGAAGTTAGGCTGTAATCTCGTTCCCTTCCAAGGTTGGTTTGTTCGCCTTACTACTAAGCCTTATCGGGATTTGGGTGCAGGTCAAGAATGCAAGATATCCCTATAATGCTACCCCGTACTTCGATGAATACTCGGTGAGGTCACCTAACTTTCTGCTTTGTCAAGATATGCAGATGCCACCATTTTCGTGAGCCCTTGGCATTGCACAGGCTTACATTTCACATCATTTGGTACATTTTCAAAGTAAGGAAATTCCATTTGACACGCCCGTGCTTGATACACAATACCATGATCGACGTTTCTGCGTTGTCGATCTTGCCAGGCTATCATACTACATCCCCGCAAACCCGATGCGGTCAGGGGGGGGAAATGACTACATTGTACATTTGCATTTTATATTATTCCTTGAGACAAACCTTTTTTGGCAAAGATATAGAGTGTACATTCTCGTAATCGTGTGTCGTCCCAAGTATAGGCTCGCTACTCTGTATATGCGCTGACATTTCGAACAAGAAATGCTAATTATACCTCTGTAGCCTAAGCGCTTCTCTCATGGTTGGATATGCTGCCACCAAGACCAGAAATAAAATACCAGAGGCTTGTGCATTATGTTCGGCGCTTATCTCAAGTGTTTCCTGTCCAGACGGAGTTTTTGATATACGTCTTGTGACTGCGGTCACTATCTATTTTTTCCCCCGCTTCAGTTCAAAGCCTCATATACACTAACCACCCCACGCACTAGAGAATAGAACGCAGTAGGCACTGCTAAAGAATACTGCTTTCATCGAGATTTCTAACAACTCGTAGGATTGCCTTCCCATCTATCGTATTCAATATGTCGTCCACGGTTTCAATTTATGTTGCCATCAGCATCAGCGACGGGGTTTACAAACACTGGGGTGTTTTCATCGATGCACCCGGAGAAGAAGACAAATTTTTCCTTCAGGTGGCGGGTTCAGATGGTCGATTCCGATATGAGATGGAGACAACGGATGTTCGACAATCGGAAAGGCTGGTGGAGTTGATTCACCTATATGATGTGGACGTCGCCAAAATCGACTCCATCAAGACCATTGCTAGTCAAGTCACTGTTCACAATGAGATTCGGGGCTGGAATTGCCAAGACTACGTGCTTGATCTCCTGGAGGCGCTAGAACAAGAAGCAATAGGGAACAGCAAAGACGCGGGATACAAGACTCAGAAAGATTTCCTTCAGGGGAAACAGGAAGGGTTGGCATAAGACATGTTTCTCTTTTCGGATGTGTGATATATTGCGTTCTGTTAACATTGGCAGACCGCCTCGTTAACCGATCATGGCAAGGCACCTGGGGGAAGTCTGTGGAGAAGGTGCCAGAGGATGTCGCGTTGATGAATGCGCCTTATCCAAAGGTATCACCACAGCAAAAGATTTCAGTGGCTTGAATTTCCTTTGGCACCTCATAATGGCAGCAACACGTATGAAGGAAGATCCTTGTGCTAAGCAGATGTCAGTTTACTCTTAGTGATGCTAGGACTGACAATATCATGGGGAAACAAGATTTGTACTAGTGACTGCTATGTTGCTGCTAGAAACATTTACTGGGGAAAAGGCAGCCATTGAATGACTGAATCAAAGTCTTCGTTCGATTTTGGTTATGTATGTAGTTTGCAAAGCAAGATCAAGTAACCCCCCAACGCCTGCCGATGTATCGTCGTAAATCGAGAAACAAAGAGAAGAAAACCGCTCAGTACCAACGCCACGGGACAGTAGAAAGTTTTCGAAGGCCATTCAGTCATGTTTTTGGTCATCGGAACCATCAGCCAGCATCTGGAAGCCTTTCACCAGCCCCATTGCAGAACCGGCGGCGATGCCGCCCACCAGGACCATTTGTATACCCCCAATGACACCCTTGCGGATATTTCGACGACCACGCCAGCCACTGACGAAGCATGTCTTTACATATCCGAAGATAAACAGCGCAATGACCATGGTAGCAATGGACCACCGCAGGGCGATGAAGGCTTCGTGGGGTCCGACGAAAAAGTATGGTATGAGGGGAATAAATCCACCGATAAAGTATCCCAAGGCAATTGTCAAAGCACAGACGATAGCTCGCGAGTCTGAGGGTTCGGGCAGCGTGTGATGGAAGTTCATGAGGAAGGATGGAAGCATAGGAGAGTGAGACAGATGAAGTTTGAGTTGTGAGACCAGTTCAGAGGGCAACTCGTAGGGCTCGAAGATGTCGGAGATGGTATCGGACACAAAGGCGGGATCCGTCATTGTCTGCGCCTGGGTTTCTTCCAATGTAGCTTTGTATGACTCCCTGCAAATATGTCAGCTGTCGGATCTCCAGAATATCTCCCGACATATTTTCATAGGAAGTAGGTGTTAGGAGCTAGGCAAACTTACTCCTCACTCTTAGCACCCAGATACCCGCCGAGTCCCATCGATATAGCTCCTGCGATGAGTTCCGCCAGTCCACCGAAAACAACAATTTTGGTGTCGCCCAATGCAGACAGTCCAGCAGTTAGGGCGAAAGGCACAGTCATGCCGTCAGAAAGGCCAATGATGGCATCGGACACGGTGCGACCGTCGATGAAGCGGGAAGACTTTCGCTCCGAGTCACTGGGACGGCTTGTGCTGTTCCCCGCCTCGACATCGGGTCGAAGTTGAGCACGAGAGTCCTTTTCATCCTCCGAAGAAGGACTGCGATCGGGGAGGGGCATATAACTCGACATCAGGCCGGTTAGGGAATTTCACGGTGAGATGGAATTGAAAAATGAAATGAGACCTTGCGGTATCCCTTGAATGGGGTTTGGGAATGTTTGTTTAAGTGAAAGCGAGGGATGCAGGAGATAAGAGAATTAACCAGTGAAAGCACGCGATGCAGTCATGAGGTTTCCCATGCTTACAGCCTTACATATTGACAAAGAAATGATCAGCTCCTATTGCCTACCACAGCCTATTGAGTGACCCAGGAAGACAACGTGCTTGGCATTCCCCTCATGGACAGGGCACGTGCAACTCTGATTCGAGGAGGACAAGCTTTGATGTGGGACCAAGTGGATCTCTGAGAGGGACTCCCGGTGCTTAACTCGAGGTGTGGGACCAATAAGAAACAGCCATTTCTAATCCATGACTCCACACACTCACATGTCAACATTAATATATGTACACTACGAGCTCGTGCCACTGCTTGGAAAGGAGTGATAGGTATAGCGTAAAGCCCCCAACGGATTTGATGCGTTAGCATGTTGAGCCAGTGCGCTAGAGGAGGGAGGCTAACAGCCTGGTAGAGAGAGACATATGAAGATGAAGATGAAGAAGGGTATATCGTAGACAAGTAGCCTTAACTCTGCGCGGAGCGCAGCGGCTCTGCCTTCAGAGCTAGGGTAGTATACTATTTGGTTGGATATTCTGATATAAGCATATTAAGGCAGAGACAAGAGAAAAAGAGCAAATAGCAAATGAGAGAAAATGCAGATCCAGCAGCAAATGAGAGCGGCGTATTCTGCAGATAGCAGGCGCAAATGAATATGCATACTCCGTATATGACTCCGTATATTTCCAGCCCTAAGAGGGGTTAATGTCGCTATTACAACTACCCGACGAGACCACCCATTATACCTCGTTGTATCAACTATTATAGTATCTGGGATCTCTGTAAAACCCATAGGGCTTTTAAATGCACGGGGAGGGTGCCCACGGTAGTTAGAGGTAGATGTAGACGTTTAGAGATGGCAATAAGGTAGTTGCAAACACATTTGCTTTTACTTCTTCACTCTTCACTCCTCGACTTCTCGACTTCTTCCCTTTTCCTTTTAGCTTTCCTTTTTGTTTCTTTGCACTTGTCTACGAAGAAGCTCACAGTCTCGCGTTGAACAAAAGTCACTATGATTCTCTACTGGGGCTTCGTCGTTCTGACGGCTCTGGTCAGTCTTGCATCCACTCGTCCAACCGGGGGTGCTCAGGTGTGGGGCCAGCTACGAGAGAACGTGAGTGGATTGCACATCTATAATTCCTACCTACCTAGGTAGGTAAGGAACAGATGGCTTATATCGGAATTACCAGATCAAGCATGTCATTTATCTCACTCTTGAGAACCACTCGTTTGACAACATCGCCGGCTACTGGGACTTCCATCCAGATATCGATAATTTACGCAATCTTACATTTTGCAATGACTACACCAACCCCAATTGGACGGTCTATGGGGAGCCACTAGCAATCTGTGCTGACCCGGATGCAACCGAGGTGCCACTAAAAGACCCAGATCACAACTTTGGTGGAGTCACCTACGAAATCTTCCGCCAGTGGAACCCGGCAAAGGACGATGTCCCTAATATGGCAGGTTTTATCGAGCGCCAATCGGAGATGTACAATGCTACCCCTGGAGATTCAGCATTCGTGATCAAGGCCTTGAACCAGAAGAAGACCGCTACTCTGGCGGAGTTGGCAAGCAATTTTGCCTTCTTTGATTCATACGTGGGTTATATTTGATCTACACATGGCTACATATATTGCAGATAACTGACTATAGACTTTCCCTTGTAGTTCGCCGAGCACCCGGGTCCCACTAACCCTAATCGCCAATTCGCAACCTCAGGCTCATCCTGCGGCTTTGTCGATAACACCTATCAGTCCGCTGGGTTCTGGAACAATGCGACCGGGACTACTTGTGCGGTCTCGATCTTTGAATCGCTCAGCAAGAAAAATATCAGCTGGAAGAACGTGAGATATATCTCGCTCCTTTACACTGGCACCTGACTAACCACTTTTATAGTACTACGAGGCCGACATCGTCGATGCATTCATGTATAAAGTCAGTCACTCCCTATACCTAACAAAGTGTCAGCTCGGTGACTAACGGTAGTATCAAGTGGGTGCAAGACAACGCAATGGACCGTCTCGTCCATGCGACGGAGCTCTATCGTGACCTGGAAGCTGGCACACTGCCTTCATTCTCGTACCTGAACCCTGAGTGCTGCACAGTCGACTCGATGCATCCTACCAGCAGCATGGCAGCTGGGGAGCAGATGGTCAAGCACTTGTACGACGCCCTACGTCGTTCCAAGTACTGGGACAATGCGTCAGTTTCGTCATCCTCATGCTGAGTGCAACACTAACACTCGAATATAGTGTCTTGATCATCAACTTTGACGAGCACGGTGGGTTTGCTGACCATGTCCCCACTCCACTCAACGTGCCTCAACCCGAAGACGGTATCATCTTCAAGGGCAAGTCATCAAACCACAATTTTACTTATGACTTTACACGTCTGGGAGTCCGGTAAGCATCTTAATCTCAATTCGAGTTTAGCCGCATGAACATTCAGCTTATCCATTTACCGCAGTGTCCCTGCCTTCATAATATCACCCTGGGTGCCACCCAATCTCCTCATCCACGATCAAGGCACCATGTACGCCGACGATTCGGCCTACACCCATAGCTCAATCCTGCATTTCCTGCAGGAGCTGTGGGGCCTTGAGGGCTTGAACAACAGAGTCCAGTGGGCCAAGACTTTCGAAATGGCTTTCACCAACAAGCGGCGAGACGATACGCCCATGACATTGGTTAAGCCGACCTGGTATGGTGGTAGTGGGCAGCCGGAACCGGATCCGTTCTTCCTTTTGAACCAGGATGAGAGCTACTATGCACGCCGCAAGGCCGAGGCTAAAGCATAAGGGATGGAATGAGAACCGCTACATTGATAATGCGCCTATGGTGGAATACCGAGGAATGAACCTTGAGATCTCTGGCTAGAGATGCGGATGATATCAATATCAGTTCAATGGATTGGGGCGGATGTCTATTACACTTATTTACCGTCCCATCAGAATGAATCCAATCAATTGACACCAGCTCAAAGCTTGATCTGTCAGTATTTACTATACTGAACAACGTAAACTAGACGCGGTCTCGAAGCAAAGTCAAGTTTACTAGTAGAACCTCGTATTGATTTACGAAACAGAATTCAGAATGTACGATGCATAGTGATCGCAGGTTTGAAATAGAAAGTAAGATCATATCAGGACTGGCCATCATTCATGAAGCCTTTACCGAGACCATAAAGGCAGAAATAGGTATGAACAAGAACGTGAAAATGTCAAAGTTCGTCCCTCAAAGCAGGAGCGCACGCTATTTTTGGGGACCAGCCCTTTGCCGGGACTAGAGCATCCGATGAAACTTGTAGATGGAATGAGGATAGATGCAGAGAATATGTCCAGTGTAAATCCGCGGAGAAGTGTTCATTGCGAAACCTGGTGCAGAGCGGGTCAGTTCAGTCGATCCAGATACGTAACCGAAAAAAGGATCAGGTCCAACATACTACTTGCGTTTCTCATCATCCTTCTGCTCCGAAGACGAGCCAGTCATATCCCACAGCCGGCTCTTGTAAGCGGGGAAGGAAGTGTGGTTCCACATGTTGTACAGGACGCTATGGGAAAATATCGGGTCAGTCGGCACGAACGAGCAATGGCAGGAAAAGAACAGTGCGAGACAAAACACACCTCTGGGTCCGGTCCTTGTAGGCCTCATCCTTGACCTCCCTTACTTGCACTTTCATGCCATCCTTTGTGAAAGCAATATTCTTGCGCTCCATCTTTTCGCGCGTGCTTTTGCCTACATCCTGGACGATGCTGTAGACGACGAATCCGACCGCGGCAATGACGCCGACAAAGACGAGGAGGAGGATGAGGGGAATGAGATTGCGGGCGCCCATGGTGGGGGATCGTTTATCGGTGTACTGGAGGGTCTAGTGAGTCGGGGCTTTTGTAATTGAGGAAAAAGTGAGGCGAAGAACCGAAGACTAGGTAAGTTGGTTGGAACCAAGGGAAGAAAACGGGGTGGAAAAAAAAACGATGGACTATATGCCAAGAACAGGAGTCTTGTTGCAGATAGTTTCAGCCTTAAGTCCTTTCTAGGCACTGTTGCTGCCTGGAGTGGATCTGGATGTTCCTTGCACGACAGGAATGCTGTTTAAATTCCAGCGGGGACAGGGCTGAAGATGAGACGACTCAGGGGCTTGAGACCTTTGTCAACGGTCCTTTGGAGTCGAGAATGACGTTCTGATTCGAGGGGAAATGGCATGCATCGTGGCTGTGTCGGAGTGTGGCTTCCTTGGGAGTCACCTAGGTACCTAGCCACTTGCTGAGTAATTTCTTAATCGGGAGGTCCCGGCCCGATCCCGGCATTTTTGAGGTTAATTTTAGCCCAGAAGGACATCTGGGGCTATTCTCCATACATCCTTGGACTTGGTCTACTTTGATCGGATGGGATGGATACACAGCATACGTTATCTTTGCTTGTTATCGTGAAGATCCTCTCTAATACCCCAGCATGAACTAAACCCCCCCACTACTACCTAAAACAGGACGATCGGTGGATCTCGATCTCATCTGCGTCATCATGATTGTATCCCAAACTCACGACTACAACGTAACTGGGTGAGTGCTCCATCCGGGGAAACTCGTTCGAGATAATCTCTCTGGATAAAGGCCGGGTCATTTCTCTCCGTATTCCAGTTCAAGGCCCTGCAGCTCAGCCAAATCTGACACCATGTGTGACGTCCCTTTCTTTCCGATCTTTCCTATCTGCTTTCAATGTGGCACTGATCAGAACCCATGCAACTGTAAGGTGGTCGGCCCGACAGTCGGTAAGTTCGGTTATTCTGAAGTGTGAATTGCTGCAAAGTGAGCCCATGTCTGACGAAATCGACAGGGTTTTTCTCTACCATTGTAGCAGCGGTAAGTAAATACAGTATCTTCTTGGGCGACAGCATGAAGACTCTTGCTTGGCTCCAGGCTCATGGATGCCCTTTTTAGATCTTCTGCTACCCCCTATCGATCTTCTGTGGTTGCGGCTGCACTCAAGCTGGAAAGGAGTATGCCCTGCTGTCCTTCTACTTCTTGACATCTAGACTAACAATGAGTAGCATGCTGGCATACCCTGTCAAGCTAAATCGGAAGATCAGTAATGCCATTCCAATCTGATATTGGAAGCTAGGCGATCGGAATATACTTGAAATCATTTTCATTGTATCTAATTATTTAATCCTAGTCTCATTTTCTACCCTGCGTTTGATAAAGGATAAGTGCCTTTTCTTCCCATCGTTCATACAAGATTTCTGCCCACGTACTTTTAAAACTCTAGGCCGTTCGCTTGATTCAATTACTTTGTAGAGCTGCAGGGCATGAATGCTCAAAGAACTATTAGTGGCATTGCATTTATATATTAAAAATATAAGTAACATATACTGGAAGAAAGAAAACTCAATGCCCCGAAAATAAACGCCTTTCCATAATATCCCCCAAGACATACTTTAAGTGGAAGACTTTTCGGGAGCAGGCAGATAACCCGCGGAGTATTCATCAGCTTCATCATAGTCCTTCAATTCCAGTCTTTTCAAGAACCCTCCTTTCAACAGATCCGCCACACTGGACCGAGCCAAAAGCTGCGATCCAAACCCGGGCTGCTCAAACCAAGCCTCGATGGGTCCCAAGAGAACGTCAAATTCCTTAGTCACCTCGTAGACATGGTAGTTGTACGGGAAGCTGCTATTGGGTGGCGCGAAAAGATTGGATGGTGGCAGGGATCGCTCGATATATGGAGCTCCAAGAGGTGCCAGGAACTTCCCATATTCGGACCCGAATCTATCAAGTTTCTGGCCCACGCGGAGTGTGTAATTCCCTAGAATAGACACATCCTCAGATGTTTGGGCAAATCCGTCGCTGTCTGGATAGATCCAATAACCCTTCGGGTCGGAAGCGTTCAATGTCCATTTCTCCAGGAACTCGAATGGGCAGAGCTCGCCAAAGCGGGAGTATGTCTCAAGCTCATTGGAGAGAGGGAAAAACCCAGGGAGGTCCTTCGGACCGAGTCGTGGGTCACCGCAAACAGCAGTAGAGTTCACGTAGGTCACTCCTTTACAAGGGTCTGGGTAGCATCTTTTTGGGTAATCCGGCTCCTGGGAAGTATGAGCATTGAACCTTATATAACCTTGCGTACCGAAAAGGGGTATTAGGGCTTACCTTGTTTGCCTTATGCCTGATAGGAGTGACGAAGGACGCGGCTTCTGCTAGAGCAACCAAAAGAAGCACACTGATAGTTGAGAGATGCATTGTGAATAGAAAATGTATCCTGATGATCACTGTGGGTTGACTGGAGAAAGAAGACAGAGAGTCATTAATATATACTGTACTCCGTACTTGAAAGTGCCAAGGAGAATTGACCTTCCGATCTCGCGATCTGCAAGGCTATTCAAATCATGCACCTAAACTATGCAAGCAGATGGGTCTCGCCTGCTATTTACCTCAAAAGGGTTAGCCACACACTTCTTCGAGCCCGCTTCATTCCAATCGGCATCCGATATTTTTCCTCTTGCTACCGTACTCTACCCAGGTATAATTTCCCCTGACATTTCTGGGAAGCCCAGCATATCCTACTAGCACATATAGGGTAGTACATACAAGGTTCGGAATGCTCTAGATAAATTACCTCCAATCATAATTTCAATTAATTTCGGGGGTATTCACTCCGTACTCTGTGGGACCATTCAAAGTACCCGAGTAATGTAGGGCGCCTGAGGAAGTCAATTGTGTTAGCTGAGCTCGTATTAGCCACAGAAATGCCCGATGCAGATAGCTTCCTATTTGGGAAAATGAGACACAGCCGAGTAACCTCGCATTTATTTACTCCTTACAACAGTCCTCAATAATGATCCCCATTTCAGGAGTATTATAACTAGGTCTTTCTCGTTATTTCGTTTCTCCTAACCTAACAACTTGTTTTTTCGTCAGTTATTATTGGTTTCATTATCGTGTTTCTTCTCATTTGAGTTAAAAGCCGGGCTAGTAAGAGTTCCAGAAGAGGGAGTAATATAAAGCAATCAATAATAGTTTGTGATCTGCTCGGTAGGTGCATCACACATGTAGGTGATAGGGCCATGAATCTGTTATGAGATTGGAGACCCACACCTTCTGAGGCTTGCAGAAGACAATTTCCTTCAGCTGAATGCTGAGACCGTGCAGAACTTAGCCAATGATTGTTCAGTGGATCCAATAGTCGCGTGACAATCTGCAAATCTCGAAGAATAAGTTCAGCTTTTCCAATTTTGCTATTTGCTCAGCAGCTTAACGCTAATGTGATCACTGCATCAACCAGACACGTCAATTTGCCTATCCAGGATTGATTCCGATAATGCCCTTTCTTTTCCGTTATACAATATAGCCCCGTGTTCTACCCCTGAAGTGTACCCCGGAGTATTTTCTTCGGGAAGGGATGGACCCGCTATAGGGCCACTTGTTTTCTCCACTAATATAGATGAGTGGGCTACGGAGGACCTGATACTATAAGGTCGAAGAGAACATCGAACTACATATTAATTCAGACAGGAAGACTCAAGATTTTTACTTTTGTCCTAGAGCACGGTCGTTCGAGCTTCCTAAACACAAGCTTCGCCCTCGAAAATCAGTGGAAACTGCCCCACCGTTAACATGCTGCAGTCTACCATGCGCGTTTCGCAAGGACCTGACATATATACATATATGTAATTTAATTTAGTCGATCGTAAATTGTGTGGCTGACAGATAAATGTCAGTAGCTGCCGAGACAATCCTCTTTAGTTCATTGGCTCACGCTTTCTAAGATTCCAAGGTTCCAACCTTGGAAGGTTCCAAGGTTGTTTGTCGGCCCGTCTCCGAGACCACACTAATCCCTGTCTGGATTGGCGGCAGAACCTTGGAATATCTACACTGAGCCAAGCATTGCTTACGGCTAATATCGAGATAGACTCGTGCGGTATCAGATACGGACAACAAAGGGCGAGTGACTTGGGGTAAACTATTTTCAATTCTGCTGTTACCGAAAGATATGTGCTGTAAGTGTTCTATTTATGGGGAACAGCCTAAGTAAAGTTGGTGCTGTTACAATCCTCTCTCTCCACCATCCCATTCAAACTTACCATTACTTCGAATAGTAACGACCGGTCTCAGTATCGTGGATCACGCCACTCTGCACGACCTTTCCATTCTTGAGGAATCCGTTCTCCACGATTCCGCCCGCGGCCGCATTGTCGGAATTCCGTTGCAAATGGTTCTCGCCGCTCTTAACAGTGAAGTTGGCCAGGGAGATCTCCCCAAAATTGCGCTCCTTGGTGGTAGGCAAGCCGAAGAAATGAGCCCCGACTTGCTCTGGGGTGATGTGGAGCTCAAAGTATCCACGGTAGTATCCCTCAGACCACTGCAGTGACTCACTGTCAGTAGCAACGATCTGGGAGATATTGTTTGCCGCAGGAATAGTGGTGTTCTGTCCGAATGACGAGGGTGAGCTGACGGCCGATCCGCCGAATTCCACACCGATGGCGCCGGCTCCAGTGCTGGAGTCGTAAGGGGTGTGGTCGAGCCAGGCCAGATCGCTGACCCAGTTGACGTGGGTATCTCCCGCGATGACGATGTTGTTTCCAATTTTGTTGTCGTAGAGAGTCTGCAAGGTTCTGTTCTTGCTCGCCATATAACCATCCCAAGCATCCAGGTTCAGTGGTTGTTCGGCGCCCATAGTGGCTGACATGTTCAACTGAGAGAAAACTGCAATCCTGTTAGTATAAGCTAACTTTGCAAGTTTAGATCAAGAAAAGCATACTGATTTGGCTGCCGAGGATGCGCCAGTGCGCACCACGGTTGGCTGACTCAATCAGGTTACGCTGCAACCAGTTCTCCTGACGGCTTCCCATCAGACTGCGACCGGCGTCATCTTTGATCTCGTCGATGTAGTTAGTGTTATCGTAGGTATCGGTGATAGAGCGGTCGTATTGTCTGGTGTCCAGCATGATCAGGTCCACCAATTTTCCAAGCTTGAAGTTTCTCCAGATGCGAAGGTTATCGTCCATCTCGACTTGTCTGGACTCGATTAGCACGTACGACTTGGCACTATTCACGGACGACTCACCTGATGGGCATCCATTCGAAGTAAGCACGGACGGCGTTCATCTTACGCTGGTCAACGGAGACGCCTCCGTCCTGAACAAATGACTTCTCGTCGTTCCTGAGCTCCGAAGAGCCATCCCGGTAGGTGTTATCGGCGACCTCTGCTGCAATTAGAACCCAAACAGACCTTCAGTGAATGCGTTAGGGCCATACCGTGGTCATCCCAGACAGGGATCCAAGCAAAGTTCTGATGACTGGCAAGCAGATCCAAGTCGGTTCTGTAGGTGGCAAGGCGCTTGCGGTAGTCATAAAGGGTGACGATGGTTCGGTCCGGCAGAGGGATGCGTCCCATGCTGTTACCCCAGCCACTAAAGCGAATCTTAGCTGATGTGATCGACATTCTCGAGTTAATTCCACTTACTAGTCACCATTCTTGTATTCGTAGATGTAATCACTGTATACAATCAGTCTGAGGCCTCACGCAGATACCAAGCGCCACTTACCCGAGATGGACGACATAGTCCACAGAATCCTTGCGCACAGAGTGTCCGTAGGCATTGAAGAAGCCGAATGCTATATTTTCTGTCAGCCCACACACTCATAGATACAGGTCGATACGGAAACATACGGAAGTTGGAGCAAGAGTAAACGGCCAGGTTGACCTGGTCGACCTCCTTCTTCGAATCAGGAGCAGTCTTGGTTCTTCCAACCGGGCTCTTGTTGTCCGAATTGCAAACTTGGAACTGATAGAAATAGGTGGTGAATGGCTCCAACTTGGATGCTTCGACCTGGTAATTCAATGAGCGAGTTTCCCAATTCTACGATCCATAAATAGCTTGCTTACCTTGACAGTATAGTCAATGTCGGAACTGGTATACACAGTGCCTTCTGCGGCAATGTGCTTGAAGCTCTCATCGTTAGAGACTTTGTAATCCAAGCAAACAGGAGCATTCGACACGGCCACCTGCTCCTCTGCATCTTCATCCCCTGAGTAGATTGGGACTGGGTTGTACAATGGAACAAGACCATGCGTAGAGGTATTCGAGTGAACATCATCGAAAGTCGGCGAGCAGCGAGTCCAGAGAATTACTGAGTCTGCATAGGGATCTCCAGAAGCAACGCCATGGGTGAAGTGCAATTTGGATGGATCAAAGGACGATCCGGGGACCCCGCGCTTTGCAACACGGTGAATAGAGACACCGAGTCCTGGATGGTTCTCGGATGGACTGCGGTAGTTCAGGTTGCCTGAGTAGCTCGCAGTGGCTGCGGCCGCAGATGACAGCACGAGAGACCAGGAGAGCTTCATTTCGGCAGAAACGAGTCAACTGGAAGGTAAGAAGTTAAGAAGTCAAAGTGCTGGGGTTTACCTCAGTGACTACAATCTAACAGGCGCTTGACTGGCTCATATATAAGGGAAAAAAAATGCTCTGGTTTTCATTTTGAAGGTACAACATAGTCACAGCCACCTCGCGGCATCCAACATTTAATCTGGCGTTTGTTATGACCAGCGAATCGGAATGACCAACAACGGCATGACCTTACAGCTCGCCAGGATCGGCAGGCACATGCGTTAGTATGTACAGAAAATACCCAGTTCTCGGTTGTATGGTTCAGGAACGTGGTGAGCCACGTGAAACTATAAGATCTATCACTGGCGGAATGGATGGAGTGCCAAGCGCCAAGACATTGTCGATATTTAGCCAAGATCTTTCAACTTAAAGCCCATAGATATCCCGGGACAGTAATTTCCATTGAATTAGTAATTAACTGATCTAGTAGGATGTTGGGACTATCCAAAGGAACCTTGGGAGCATTGGCAATTTGACATTTTGACATTTTAATATCCGATTGCCGATTGACTGCCGAGTTGACGTGCGTGTTGGAGTTAAACCTAAAAAGGTAAAACTAACCAGAAAAGGAAATTCTCAGTTTATATGGAACAGAGGTACACTTTCTAACATATCTAAGGATATTGCTTGATACCTACAGCCCCTTCCACTCCATCACAACAATCGACTTCTTCCCTCCTCCCTTGTTCGGGCTTACCGGAGCCCAGTCCTTCAGTGTGCAAATCTCTTCGAAGTTGTTCTTCTCCATTACTCTCCTGCTCCCCATATTCTCAGCATAAAAGCTGCCTCTAAGAAGATGAAGGTTCATCCGCGGGATAGCCCAGTCATGAATGATAGTGCGAACAGCAACACTCATAAGTCCCCGGCCGTGTTGAGTAGGAGAGAGATAGTCTGTTAATATTGTTAGCAATTGAGCTTGAGTCTCTGGGGATCCCCATACATCCTATACACCAGATGATATCCTTGTGCCCAACAGGCAAATCCTCGTTTTGCTTCTGTGCCAGTGCACGTTCCGAGCTATCTGGTGGCAACTCATAGAATGCATACCGCGCTAGCGTAAAGTCTCCGATCCAGACATCTTGAAGTGGAGCACCCGTCGCAGGGTCTCTTTTTGTCACTTCGCGTATGCAGACGAAAGGGCTTTTATCAAAGAACTCTGGTTCCCCTTGGCCATTCGAACCGTCGCCCTGCTGACTGTGCGATGTTTCGAATTCTTTTTGCAGAGTAGACACGACATCTTTGTATTCTGCTATTTTCGCTTTGATCCAGTCCACGCCATGCTCGGGCAGAAAAGGGTAGGGTGGCCCTTGTAGCCAGGAGTACACGCGTGAATCGTTGAGAATTTCGGTCATCACAGCAGATGTCTCCTCGATCTGGTGTTCACGTTGTGGGGTGATGATGATGTTTGCACATGGTGCTGGGAGTTGGAGATAGGGCTCTTTAGTGAGCGGGTTATAGTGGACACCCATTTTGATAAACGCCAGACCAGTAAGAGTCTCAATTGGAATATCTATACTAATTCCAGATGTTCAGTTTATATAGGCTCGTATTTTAGCAGCTACACAAGGCTCAAGATCTTTGTGAGTCACTCGGCAAATGAGAGCTAACCAATTATGGGCAACACTACAATTAGCTCGATGTTAGCCTGTATAGGATTTTGTTCACCCGCTTCTTGGCTAATTACTGTCTCTCTTTTTGTTCTAATAACCCGTGCAAGAATATCTTGGCCGAACCTACACAATGTGACTCAGAACGGAATGAAAATACATGTCAGACACCGGTGTACTCACTATACCTGGAAATGGCAGCTGGACCGAGCGATAGACTCAGCAACAGAGGAATAACCAGAGCAAGACAAATTGGCGCAAAGTGAATGCAGCCGGTTCAGACCCTCTACCATCGCAGACTCGATAATGGCTGAGAATGGAAGTGCATATCACTAGGACTGCAAAGGCAAGCAGCAGAGCGTAAATCCAGATAGCAAAGCATAGAAGCCCATGGTTTGCTGTGTTTTCTGGCATACATTTGTTTGCTCTAGTTCATTGCCGTCCATTACTTAGATTTTCAATGGTATTCAAGTTTCTCTGATTTCTGGTTGAGTATGACGTGAAATATTGTACTCAATAGTTCGAACAAAAAGGCGCTCATCGATTTATGTCAGCTTCTGCGCATGCACTGAGCAGGAGTAGTGCAGGTAAGTCGACGATGAAGCATGGCTGGGACCTTAGGGTAAACGAGGTATACAATATCTAGATACATTTGTATATGGGTAACGTCGATTAGACAGTCCGAACCAGAAGGCTGAGAAAATGAGAGCGCTTCATGATGTTGATGTTCTATTATACACTGACCCCAGGTGTCACCATCTCGAAATGGCATTGTACTTCCGTTTGGGTATATGAATGTTAATTTACTGGCACCCGACTGGTCAATTGCTCCAGACGTCCTGCCAAGGCTCGATGTTTGCGCATGACCTCCTCCCATTCGTAGGCCATATCTTCGGTATCTTCCTCCCCGCCCAGCTCGGTCAAAATCATGCCAAAGTCACCACCAAGGCGCCCAAGACTTGCGGCACAGTACAGAAGCTGCGTGAGAAGACTTTCCCTCGAACTCCGATCTCGGACGTTGGGAAGATAGGAGCGCATTGTATCCGTGAGCAATTGCACGAGATGCATTGGGAAAGTAGCCAAAGCCGGGGGAAGATGTTGCAAGGGGTCATCTGAGGGTGCTGGCTTTGACTTGGCCTTGGAGGGGGCATCTCCACCCCGTAGACCTGAGATGGCAAACTCGGATTCGGATTGTTCGGAGTTAAAAATATTCTTGTACAGCGAGACAATTGCAAAGCTCTGCTCACGGAAAATCTCGATGTATCTCTTTAAGTAGCGGTCAGTTTGCTGACCACCGGACCACGAGGTCGTGTCTGACTTGTCCTTGCCACTGAGTCTCCGATGGGTTTCTTGGTCCGCGAGCTCACGGAGGGGATCCAGAGCTTCAAGCGTCGATACCAAATGCGCCAGTCTGCAGACCAGGAAGATGGCCCCAAGAGCGCCTTCCCCTGTCCCGACTGCCCCATCGCTCTGGATCATATCTAGATCCGGGGCTACTCGCCGCAGCCAACCCACAGTTCGGATACCAGCTGCTAACCGCAGGTTTTGGGTTCGGAGCCCCGTGATCAGATTACTTGTCATGTCCTTCATAGCATCCTCCGCTTGAGATGCAACATCTTGAATCAATGGAGATTCGGGGTATAAGGTTTGTAGTCGCTTGATATGTGCATGCAGGTCGAGCGCAGAGGAGTAGGTTGTAGAGGAGACACCGGTACCGGAGTTGACTGAGGCCGCGGAGACGGCTTTGGATAGCAGACTTGGTAGTTCCAAGATATCTGACAATCGGTCGACATTGCGAGAGAGCTGCATCGCTTTCTTCCGTCGTTCTAGAGCGGCATTGTCTGTGATCTTACTGTATTTGGTAGAAAACCCAACGGCCTCCTCGTCGAGTTTGGGGATAGCATCGCGTAGCTGTTGCGCCTCGCGGGTTAACTGTGGGACAGATGTGCATAGTGTGGACAAATTATCGGCAGAGGTGACAAATGCCCGGTGCGAACGGTTCGATAAGGCTTGAAGGGATAGAAGGGTCGAGTGGGAGGATTGGGCGAGCGAGGGAGGTTCTGTGGTCTGGAGAGCTTCGAGCGACAAGGTTGAGAGGCGAGTGAGATATTTGTCGGTAGTTACATCGTGCGATTGAGTTGGATCTAGATGTGGAGCGAGTAGCTCCAGCAAGTCGGCCATGGTTGATGCTATTCGGAAGTTGCGTAAAAGAGGCGCCCTGAATGGATCACCCCCGTTGGCCCGTGCGGGTCAGTTGTATCTCCGACTGGAATGAACTTTTTCTCTGCCTTTTGGAGTTTTCTCTCTCTTCTCAAGACTATTTCCGCTTTAGATAGACGGTTGTTGTGCTCGTTCTTTTCTTTCTTTTTTTATCCTCGTTGTCCTTGCTGCAAATAGTATAACTTCTACTAGCCCCTCCCCCGCATTCGCCCATTACATTTCCCCCATGACCCTTCCACCATGGGGAAGCCACGGGTAAGTCTCCATTTCGGGGTGATTGGGGTGTGTCTTGACTTAAATTGACCTTTTTACTACTTATAGATGATTATTTTAGTGCGACATGCACAGTCAGAAGGCAACAAAAACCGCGACATTCATCAAACTATTCCAGACCACCGGGTGAAGCTCACTGCTGAAGGACATCGACAAGCCCAGGATGCAGGCCGTCGACTACGTGATCTCCTCCAACCCGACGATAAACTTCACTTCTTTACCTCTCCCTATCGGCGGACAAGAGAGACTACCGAGGGAATCATTGAATCCCTAACCTCCGATACGCCCGCTCCTTCGCCCTTCCAAAGACAAACAATTAAAGTTTATGAAGAACCCCGTCTGCGGGAACAAGATTTCGGCAATTTCCAGCCATGTTCCACAGAGATGGAGCGCATGTGGATGGAGCGGGCAGACTACGGTCATTTCTTCTACCGGATTCCCAATGGTGAATCTGCAGCAGATGCCTATGATCGCGTGAGTGGATTCAACGAATCCCTCTGGCGCCAGTTTGGCGAGGATGACTTTGCAAATGTCTGTGTACTTGTTACGCACGGCCTGATGGCACGAGTATTTCTCATGAAGTGGTATCACTGGAGCGTGGAATACTTTGAGGATCTCCGCAACATCAATCACTGCGAGTTCCTGGTCTTGACCCATAATCCAGAAAACGGCAAATATACACTACAGAATAAACTTCGCACCTGGTCAGATCTTCGAAAAGAGCGGGAGCGTGAAAATGCATCGAAAGGGCAAGTCCCGCCTGTTGGTCATGTCGGACTCACAGACCATATTCCAATTCGACGCAAATGGGGTGGCTGCCCCGACGGCTGTACTCACGGCATGACCGCAGAGAGAAAACAATTGTTGCGAGCAAATCTACTGAATTCCATACGCCACGAGCATGGCTATGCTCAAACAAAGCATGCCGATGACCATGCAAGCAGCTTTGGCTCCAAACTTCACAAGTCTATATCCATCGACGAGGTGGTATCCTCCTCGGAGGACAGTTCGGCCCAGAATGATACCAGCCCCAAACTCAGCGCTCGTCATGTCTCCAGCCACCAACACCCACTCCACGACGACGAAAATGGAGGCGCCCCAAAGCAATACGATTCTGGCTCAGAAGCTCGGCCAAACATCAATCCATTGCATCCAAAACGACCAAACTTACACGGGCTGAACCGAAATAGCGAAGACCATCTCCCCCACTTACCGCACTCTACATCTTCATCATCAGCTCACCTAAAGTACGCCCTTCTCCACCTTGGTGGCCGTGATGGTGGAGGGTCCATGAGCGGGGCAAACAGTCTCGCCCCATCCGACGACGAAGGAGACGACCACGTTCATCACCGTCACGCTGCACCAGCCTCTCCCGGCCTCGCCACTAGCAATTTGTCCCATGCGAACCAGCAACACTTCGAATTCCCGCCCAGCGAGCAAACCCAACGGTCACCTCCCTCTCAGGAGCTCGAAGATGACGGCGATGACGAGATGAGCGGCAATCCCATCGAGAAATTGAAGAAACATCGCCTGCACCATCCACATCATCATCATCATCACCACCACCACCATAATCACCACTATATTTCTTCTTCCACCGATCAACCCGAGCACCGCATGGCCAATATCCTAGGCGACGGCGACGAGTCATCCAACCACGCAGAATCACAGAGGAGAAGACAGGAAAGTTCGTCAACGGATTCCCCGTCTCATCTCCACATCGAGGAACTATCCTTAGAAGAGCAGCAAAAGCAAGATCAGAGTATCCAAGGGAGCATCTACTAATACTGTTCCGGTTGCGTTCCTTGATGCCTTCAACTGCTTGATACGTTTGCATACTTCTCATTCTCCTTTACTGGTTCTCGTCTCGTTCTTCTCTACATCTACTCTTACGACCCGCGACGACTGTCTGGATGAATCTTGATTACCCACTAGTACAACTGCATTTTGACATATCTTATTTCAGGTCGATGGACCTTTTCTGTGTTAGGCTAGAATCAAATATCTATCACAATAATAGTTACGAGATCCAAACTTATGGCTCCTTAGATATCCGAAACTGCCGCATAACACAACAAATCGCTAAAAAAATAGCAGCCGACGGAGAGGAGAGGCTCACTACGTAGGTAGAAGACACTAGGGATACCGATACGAGTCCTAGGACACACCAAAAAGTTGTAGTCCCGACAAAGATAATAGTTTGTCGCTAATTTAGTGAGATATCTTCAAACAACTGAGCATCAAAAGCCACAGCCGCAGCCACGGACGCCATTAGCCAGGTGAAAACATGACCAATGGAGACGGGACAAGTGCCCTGGTTCTGCGGCAGCGCCGAACGGCAAAGAGTAGATAGACTGAATCCAGTCAAAGAGAGCAGACAAATTCAGGTAGACTACACAGTTGCCAATCGCAGGGGATTGACTGGACTCTCAAAATGAGATCAGACAGAAGATGCATCCAGTGTACCGATATCACCCGGATACATGCAGAGATGCCACCGGGAGAAGAGACCCCAAGACGAATCGATTTCCATCCGCGTCGCAAGTGAGGAGAGAGAGAGGTGGAAGTGATGGAATATATCATGCAGCTAAGAAGGGTTGGAAGGATCCTTGAATAGTTGATCTCATTGATTGGAGAAAGGCTCGCCAGAGAAAGATAAAATCGAAGGAATCGAGGGAGTAAAAAAAAAAAAAGTAAAAAAAAAAAGTGAATGGGCAATTGAAGATTGAGAAGCGAAGTGAAAAAAAATGATTAACGTCGGGCACTGCATGTAGCGTGGCGAATGGGAATAATGTACCGAGATGAGGAAGTGAAAAGAAGAAAGCACTCTATGGGTAATCACCGCGAGACAAAAATGCCAAGCATAAAACAAAAGGACCAACGATATAAACCGAAGTCGTGGGTAATAAACAAACAAGCCAGATTTTGGGGATTCATGATAGTCGTGACTGCGGCCCCGGCAACCTTTGGAGTCAAGGATGAGAGACCCAACAATGAGGTTGTATAAGACTCGATGAAATCAAAGTGATATCAATATAACAAGTCCAGTCGAGATTTTGCATCATGGGCTTGGCCGGGGCATGCCAATGTCCGCTATGGGAGCGTTTTTTTCCTCTTTTTCTTCCCTCCTTTTTTTGAGATTTTTTCGCTTTGCCAAACGAGAACCAGCGGACGCGAACAGAAGTACTTTTGGGAGACGCGGTAGGCCAATTGCTCAGAAGCAGATAAAGGAGGCAAAAGGTCGAAAGGCGCAAGGTTGAAAACAATTCAAGCAGAAGAAGAAACGGTATCGAAATAAATCCCATGCGAGTCGCCCAAACAAACGTTGAAAGAAGTCTAGAGTTGCAGTAAGAAGAAATTCAAAGAGGCAGCAAGACTTGTGGTCTTGAATCGTTGACACCGTCTGTTCCATCCGGGGTCGTGGGCAGAACATGCTAAGTATCTTCAACTAGGTTGCGATCATTGGCTGGTGCATGGAGGGGAATGCACTGTTGCACATATAGTGCTCGAGATGCTTGGCACAGTAGGTGCAGCCGCAGGACGAACCATGACCCGTCCAGAGACTCTGAGCGAACGGCAAGCCATACGCCGGAGTGTGGTGGTAGGATGGGGGCTGGGATCGAGGTGCGGGATGAACCATGTACTGCGAGGGCGCGTTCCAGCCTCGCGAGTAGGGCGGAGGCGGAGGCGGGTTGGCGTAACCCCAAGGGCCAACCGAGTAGTAGTCGGGGTAGTGGGGCCACTGGAAAGGGTAGAGGGAGGCGAGTATTCGGACGCGGTCGGGTTGAGCCAGGAGTTCTCAATTTGCGAGCTGCGCTGGTACTGCGGCGGGATGGGGCCCTCGGGGGACATAAGGGGTTTGGTAACAGCCTGGCCGCGGATCACGTTGGTCTCGAGAGGCGCCAGAGTCTGGCGAGACTCCTGAGCCCGGGCTGTTGCCTTGGTCCGCCAGGTATCCCAGTGCGCGCGCCACGAGGCGAAACCATCCTGCTTGTCGTAGATGCGGTCGTGGATCTTCCAGTCGAACGCGAACAGCCATTCCAATTCCATGTGGTTCAACTCAGCAACGGGGATGTTGCTAACCTCAGCCCAGGATTTGTTCTGGAAGGTATTGTCATCAAGGAACTTGCTTCCCAACAGAAGAGCCACAGTCAACATGCGATAGACCTGGCTACTGTCTGTCTTGGTGAAGGTGCGTTGGGCCGACAACAGGCGCACGCGGCTGGCCAGATAGAAGAGACCGAGCAGAATGGTAGAACTTGGGAGGCGTGTCGAGGACAAAATCTGAAAGACGTATTTCCGAAACTGGGGGGGGAACCGAAGATCCTGGGTAGATGCTTCGCACGAGGTCAATATCTGCAATGGTGATGTTGGTCTCGAACAAATCATACATTCCCTGAGCCATCTCTGCCACAAAGTCGGACATGCGATCCATCTCATAATCCAGGTGAGCTGCAACACCTCCAGTTGCCTTCTCCTCCTTGCGGGGTTGTTCGAGCTGCTGTTGCATTGGGGCGGCTTCCTGTCGACGGTATTGAGGCGGAATCGTAGCATCCATGGGCGGAAGTTGGACGTTGCGGATTGAGGGCAATCCGGCGCCAACCATGGGGTTGAACATAGGCTGCTGGTTCATCATGTGGTGATGATCGCGAGCAGTGTTCATCGGATGAGCGGACTGGGGGTGGAGATTCATCGAAGTGGGTTTGCCGTAACACAGAGACTGCGAGTACTGTTCGATGAACTCGTTGCCGCTTTGGTGGTAGCGAGGAGGGAATCCTGCATGGCCAACCGGGTAGAATGATGGGTCTTCCATACGACCACCGTTGACATGGGGAGGCGTAGGCAGGCCATGGTGGCCTGGGACGAAGAAGGACGGCATCTTGAGAAGGGGAGACGCGCTTACCAGTTCAGGACGGAGAGCTAGACGTATTCTATTGCCAGGAGAGGCGAGAATCAGCATACAAGGCCTCCGGGGGTAGGCAAGAGCCAGATAGACCGAGAGACAAGAGTTAAAAGAAATAAGGAGACGAACCGTCTACTCCACCAGATCCTGATCCTGGGGGGAGGAAGAGGAGAAGAGCGGTGCTCAGCGAGCGGATCGCTCTATCGTTTTCCTAGGAGGCAGTCTCTAGTTGAATGACATTGAGGTGCGTTCAATGATCCAATGGACAAATGACGAGTAAATGAGAATCAGAAGGAGCGTGGCGAATGGTGAACGATACACAGTCCTCGCTTGAAGTGTCAAAATGACGCCTGTGAGGGAAGGTGACAGATCACACAATCCAGTCAATTCAAAGCGCTTTGATAGGCGAATAACCAGGTCGAAGCGAAGCGGAAGAGCCCACGTAAAAGGGTGAACTGAACGCGCTGGGAGAAGAGCACCGGTGGAAGAAAAATAAATTCCCCACGCGTAGACGCAAACCTCACAGAATGAGGTGATCAACGACACTTAGTGAAAAGCTCGTTGACACGGGAGAAGATTGATACAGAAAAGAGGTTGAGAAGAAGGATGAAGAGAAGAAAAGTGTATAGGGGCGTTGTGTGGGAAAAGGCCGTTGGGTTGCCCCGGTAATTTTACATGTATTTGGGATACAGGGAAGGAGTCACTCGGCCCACATCTGGAAATTCTAAATTTAAAAAGTTTCGCACATTGTGTCCCTACTAGTATCAGGTAAATTAGGCTTCTAGCTTATATGAATATATATACAGAGCATGAAGAATGATTTGAATGGAGTTTGACATTATAGTCAGTTCTTATTGGATTTTCTTGGTTCACTTTTTTTTTTCCCTTCCCATTTTCCTTTTTTTTTTCTACTATAGAAATCCACCCATTCAATGTTTCCAATGAGTTTGGAACGTGCACTGTGGACAGTGCAGGTATCATGTAATGGTACTGTAAGGTTCATCATAGTAAAGAAAAAGGCCCTAGACCCTTAAGGCAAATCCGGTGATGCAACGCCCGTGTCACTGGTTCTCCCGAGGTGGTGGTATTGTATTGAGCTTTGGAAAAAGAAAAAAAGAAAAGAAAAAAGAAGAAAAAAACCTTAGGAGTGGCTCCACGCGGGCCAGGGCTCTTAGTAAGCTCAGTTCTATTTCCAACCTTGGAAGATTCGAATACTTTTTATTTTTTTTTAAAAAAAAAAGTAAATGGTAAATAGTAAATAGTAAATAGGAAAAGGAAAATATCCTATGTCAAATGGCTACCGTTATTATATCTATGAAAGATATTCTGTAAAAATCGAATGTCGCATTCCCTCCGTTGCTTAGTCTACAAAAACCCCCCTAGTGCTACCTACCTAGGTACGGACGTGTTCATCCGGACTCTTCCATACCCACTCCCCATACAAACGTACTCCAAGTATGTACTCCATACTGTGTACGGAGTACAGAGCACATACAACAGAAGCAGGCACTATATTCAACAACTAACAATACAGCTGTCGCCGGGTCATTTACTCCGTACTATCCCTCGACATGCAATCACACGCGCCTATTACCCGTACAACCAAGCAAGGGCAACCGAGACCATGCATCTGGCAAGAACTCCATCTACAGAGCACTCTCCCTATGTACTTCTTCTCTCTGGTCTCTGACATGTCAGACATAGTCTAACTGGCCGAGGGTGACAACGGGTCTCTGACTCACCGTAGACAACTCCGCCCTCAGCGAAGGACAAGGATGTTGATCCCTGCAGTCTGCATCCCAACATGGAGTAGCGTGCTGCATGGGCAAGTGTAGGTAATCCGTACATGTACTTACTCCTAGAGGTAAAGATGGTGTTTTTGGCAGGTATTTATTTATCTGAGGCACTGACAGCCTCTCTAAATTTATTTGCCTATCTGCTTAAAAGGCGCATACATCTGCTGCATGTTAAAAGCCCCGCATATATATTAAAGTCATTTCCCTGAGAGGGGTCTAGAAATACTATTATTAATCTTTAAATACTTAAAATACTTAAAATATAACACCGAAGACCGGACTAATAAATTCAAGTCCCTCGGACCTCGTGCTTTGCCATGCTCCATTTTCGAGTTCCTCCGATTCTTTCAGGGTGCCACCTAAATGTACAGTACCTGCTTACCTTGGATGTGATGGTTCGTGTCAATATACACAATAAATATACCAATCAGCTGAAATAACCAAAAGACCAACGATGCCCGACCGGCTACATTCGGCCTTTTCCCTGAAACAAAACATCTCCATATTTCCGAGCTGCAATACAACATACAAATTCGAATGAGAAACTCCCAAACTGTAATTTCCCCAACCCCGTAAACTAAGGGGGAAATCGGGAAAACCAGGCATAGCACCCCTCCTTTTTTTGAGGGGGAGGCGAATAAGAGGACACAAGTACATACGTTGTACAAGTTCAAGAGCTAATGACATTGAGCAATTTGTCATCGTGGTCTATGATTTCTTCCAAGATCGGTTTATTGCTATTTCTGTTTCGGGTTGTTCTTACATATGCCCCATAATGTTTATAGCTAAAGTATAGGTGACCGGTGTGCCAATGTGATTGTTCTATGCCCAGGTGAGCGCTCACGCTTTTACGTCAGGCGTCCGGGTCATGTCTGGATTAAAAACATAGGGAATAATATGATTCCCTACATGGAAGGCTCACTACACTGCCTCTAAATGGGCAGAGTATCGAGAGGCAACCAATTAGGCAGGCGCGTACAAAGGTCTTTCTCTTTTGTCAAGTATCATTGATTTATATATTTTTTAAATCTGTTGTAAAATAAACCGAGACTTCTATTACTACGCGATGTGACTTGAAAGGATTGTTCATGTCTTTGTTTGGGACATCGGAAGCTCAATCGATATATTATAGGTGCGTACCTTAGACTCGATCCTCGAGGTGACAAAATCCATTATAATCCATACCAAAAATATCCAGAAAAAGAGCAATGTACTTAAAGGAAAAGCGCGACAGCGGAGATAACACCAAGAACAGGCAGGACGCTGGAAACAGTGAAGTACGAGGCACCGTTAAACACGGGTGATGCACTTGCTGAGCTGCTGCTTTCGCTAGTAGAACCCAAACCTGTACCTGCATCTGCGCCTGCATCTGCGGCAGTAGGAGAGAGGGTTGTTCCGGGGAAAACTTGACCGTGGCTGAGTAGACGCCAGTGAAAATTGATGGTGAACCTGAGCTGATACGTGTGTGTGTAATGCTGGGCAGGTTGGAGAGGTGGCCGGCATGATTACCAGCGGAGACGCCGGAGGTAAAGCTGGAGCCAGAGCCGGTCGAACCTTCACCTTCAGCTTCACCAGGTGCCGTGGTGGTCACAGCGGTGTTGATGGGGACCGAAGTGGTACCGGCAACGATGGTCTCTGTCGTGGTATGTGTAGTCTTTGCCATCGCCAGCTGGGCCAGTAGGGCTGGATCCTTCGGTGGTGGTCGTTGCGTCTTCAACAAGGCAGACAGTGGTCGAGATGACGATAGTCTCAGTGGTAATGTGAGTTGTCTTTTTGGTGGCTGGGCAGTTGGTAACAGTCGAGGGACAGGCTGTGATAGTCGCAGTGCGGGTGGTAAACACAGTAGAAGTTGTCATATCCGGCGTAGGGGTTTCTGCTGGCAAGCTCATAGAGGGGTCCACGGAGGCAGGGTTGTCAGCGCGATGGACTCGGAAGATGCTGGTGCTCCAGTGGTTGAGACTGAGGACTCGATGCCACTACTGGAAGCGGGGCTTACGGGCCCAGTGATAGTGGTTGCCAAAGTGATAGGGCCTATGGTGCTACTTGGCGGATCTGAGAGCATGTCTGATGGAGATCCTGATCCCTTGGAACTGGGATGGCCAGATGGGGAGACAGATGAAGCGAGCGAAGTGCTGGTGGCAACGGGTGGACCCGATGGGGTTTTGATAGGGACCGAGACGCTGGCTGAGGTGGATGAACCGCATCTCTTCTCGAACGAGATGTGAGTCAGGTCCACTGTCGTGCCTGACATGGTCGCATCGGGGCAATCGATTAGGATGAACATGTCGACTTCTGAGTCAACAGCCGTCCATTGCTTGGAGATAGTCTTCCAGGAACCGGCTATGAGAGGGCTAGTGCCGGCATTTGCGCCATTGAATAGGAGGTTCACGGTACAACTTGTACTATCAACACCTAAGCTAGCTGCCTGGCGGATATCGAAAGAGACAGTATAAGTCTCTTCCGCAATGGCGCCGGTAACTGTCTGGACCAACAGGGTCTGCGATTGGATAGGGATAGCTTTGGCACCCAGATGCTTATCGAACAAGAGTCAGTTCATACACTGCACGAATTTTGTCTGTACATATGGTTAGGTAGGCACGAACAGGTATCCATCGACAGCTGCACCGCCCTTGGGCGGCAGGATAGTCCACACGCTGTCATCGAGATCGATAGTCTCAAAAGCCACATCCTCAACCAAGTTCTCAGTACCACACTACCTGAGAGTGGAGCTGAAGAGGGAGTTGTCTGGGCAGGTGCGGTGATCGTGAGCGCAACAGCGGGAAGAACGTGGGCAAGCCACATCAAGTGGCCTTGGACCAACATTTTTGTATAGAATCTAGCGGATATAAACGAATGGACGGGTGAGTAAACACCACGAAAGGTAAAGGAGAACGTAATTTTGAACAAATGGGTAAACCAAAATGAGGATATCGCGGGCTTTTAGGCCGGATCCCAAGGAAAGTAAGATGCGCTGTGGTTGAACCTTTTGTTGCCATCGCAGGCTTGTGGTGTTACCGCTCCACTTCTGAAAAAAGCTGGCAATTTGAAGCGAGGATTGTCTCGTTCAAGACAAGGCAATTGGTTTCTTAACATTTGAAGTTGGCTTGATTGAGGGATCGGGTACACATCAAATGAGGGCCCGGGACGTTGTTCTTTCACTTAGGGCTTGGGATGTCGGGTAGATTAACCGTACCACAGTTAGGTTTATTACTAGATGCCATATTGCTCACTTCACATCCCTCAAACCACAGGAGACTTTCAAAATAACTGACAGGGAACTGGATGGGGCGATCAGCGCCGTCGGACTATATAGCCACGTTTTGATCGGCGCTATACCGGTAGGTTTTCCTGACCGTTTTATGTTTGCTAAACTGGCATGTGTCTTTCAATAGCGTGGTCTATTCTTGTAAATGTGCGCTATGGCCTATTTGTAACCGAGAAATCCAAGAAATGCCATAAATTCCGAAAACAATGCACAGACAAAAGACAGGGAATGCGAGATGTCGGAGTTATAGGTTGTCAACAACCAAACAGACCTCGATGATAGCCTGGGTGTTCCTATATATATGTATGTTATCCAGTCCCAAAAACGCCTTGAAAAAACGTATGTCACACAATGCACCCGAGTGATAAAAGATAAAAGAAATGCTAAGGGAGGAAAATAAAGCTCCGGAGTCATCACATCATATATATCATACCTACCCTACGTAAGAGGCGCGGGCAGGAAACAAAAGAAGAATAACAGAGGCGCATATAATCAGTCATGATCAAACAGTGCCGTATGGGCCGCGCTCTGCGCCCAACAGAGCCTGACCCTCTTGCGGGATGAAAGAGTCTCCTGACTCCCTCCGAGGCGAAGAAGAGGGGATCCAGCCGCGCATCCAGCCGTGAACACGCCTCCAGCGACCACGACCGCGCTTCGTGTCATCCCCATCGCTGGTGATGAAACTCTCGGCATCCTCGTGCTCTGGACCATCACCATACATGAGAAACTGAACGCCCATGAACCCGTCCAGTCCCAATACACCGAAGGCACCCAGGAAGAATGGGGTGGCGCGTCCTATCCATTCCAATCGGTCATTGCCGTGGTTATCGGCCCAGCCGCCGCCGCCGTATGGGGAGAAATCGGACCAAGCGTTCGGGTTGGTGAGCAAGGAGCTGGAGTAGAACAGGTTCCCACAGAACGCAGCCATGAAGAGCAGTGGAGAGAGACCCTCGGTGCTCTTGCGCTGATAGTTCTTGTATAACTGTGGAGGGCGCGAGCCGAGATACAGAATAGTTGACATCCATGAGAAGACGCGGCCGATGACCTCGACAATGGCCTCGTGCGGTGCGTCAGAAATGGGCGGATGAGGCTTATCGGTGGGTGCAGCATTAGCGAGTACGGCACATAAGAGTGATGCCATGAGCATCGTCCGGGGCAGTGCGAATGGCGGGCTGTGTGCGCTGCCGCTTACCCTCACGGATCGACGCGAGGAGCTCAATTTCTCGTTGGAGTATGAGGCTGTTTGCTCACGGGTCGAGTTGAGCACTGACCCAGCCTGGAAGCCCACATCCTTGGCCTCTGAGTGCTTGTTGTCCATGTTGACGGGAGCCGGGGTCTGATGGTTCGAATCATGGCCTGGAGGAGACACGCCCTGAATGATGTCTTGACCAGCCGAGTCATGCGAGTGTGACAGGTTGTTATACAAATCATTTTGGCGAGGTTTGTAATGAGTGTACCAGAAAAACTGGAAGACCAGAGTGATGTCAACGAAGACATAGTAACTGGCAATCACGACCTGCCACCCTGCCTGCCGGGTGCATATCGCGCCAACGAGGTTGCTCGCATCGCCGAGACACCAGATCACCAAGAAAAATATCGATAGCCCTGACGTCGATTGCACTTGGAAGTTCTTATAGATCTGGGGTAGTTGTGCGAATAACCATGAGACTATGCTGAGGGTCCCAAGAACGGAAGAGATCGCCGCGAGAGGAGTGGGGATGCAGATGTGGAGATGCGAGGAGACGGCGGTCAGGAAGGGCGAGGTCGGTTCACAGTGATCAGGAAGGGTCCCAGAAAGGAGGTTCTGTAATAACGGAGGTGACATGGTCTATCGACAGGGATGTACTTGATAGCACAGTGGCTTGGTACAGCCTCAAGTAGTGACTCGTGTAGGGCCGTGGGCATCAAAGTATGGGCAAGGGCGATAAGCGAATCCGATGGGAATAAGATAAGAGAGGATGTATACTCTAAGTCTAATAGAGCTAATAGAGCGAGCGAACTTGGAAAGGGAAAGTAATAAGTAAATGAACAAAAGTAAGGACTGAAGAGCATAGCCCAAGGGGTCATTCTGGAGTGTCACGAGAGCTGAACTCGCCTTATCGCATCGGGGCAGATCGGATGACTCATGCGATAAGGTTAAATGGGCGTATCAGGGCTTCTCCCAGCTTGCAAATGCAGGGTGCTGCATTTAGGTAACACAGCATCATGTTGTAGGATGTAGGTGATGGCTATGATAAGAATTATTCAGCCAAATACGGTTTCGATCCACTGTCAGTCTAAACATGTCCTCACCCTTTGTTCTGCGACTTCTTGATCTATAATATATTCCCAGTTACAGAGCAGAGCGTAAGGTCCCGGGGCCCCGGGGAGATCTTCTGATTATGTAAGCGATCCAGGGCTCCAGGGCTCCAATATTTCCGCTGAATCAGCGTCTACCCCGTTCCACTGCTGCAGCACTCATCTTGGGACCATTACTGGGGCCGGGCGCGATCCGACTCCCGCCAAATGGTGATGCACTCCGAGAGAGGGCAGCAGATGCCGGGGCAGACCGATTGTGCGCCATGTGCGCTTGCACGAGATGACCGGCTGCCAGAGCTGCACAAAGAGACAGCTCTTCCACCAGAACGGCACTTCCGATGATGCGTGTAAGTTGACGTAAATTCTCGCCCGGCGTGGTCGGATGGGATCCACGAACACAAAGCATGTCGAGCACTGCTCCCTGGGGTTCGAGAATAGTAACGCCACCCAATGTACCGACTTCGATGGACGGCATAGTGACGGAAATATGGAGTGAGCCACCGTAACTAAAGAGTCGAGGTTAGCGAATGTGTTCTGATCTGAGTCAGTGGCAGTTTGAACTTACATTCCCATAAGAGTCATGCAGTTGGCACTCTCTACTACCTGCGCAGGATCCTGTCCTGTATTGTAGCAATGAAAATGGCGGCTGCCAGATTCGCCGCTTGAGCGTTATATCACACCAATGAGCCGGCCATGGCGGAGCCAATGAGATTTCGTGGTTATATAAGAGACACTAAACCCTTCTCGAGCAAATTATCTAAAGCTTAACCATTTCCAAGGTTCTCCTCAGAAGTCTCACTCTCATTAATAGTTCTATCTCTTTCAACCCCTTAACTAGTCCAGTCGGGTACAAGCGAATGCAATGAAAGCGAACGCCAACAGCAGCTAGCGGCTCGGAAAAGGAACTACAGTGGAGCTAGTACATATAGAGTTTGATCATCGGGGTAATCTCAGGTTAGGGCATTTTGTTATGGGCTCAGTTACCCCGTACAGGTTAGCCTTATATACCGCAGCGTGTCAACACCCCGTGCAATAGGGGCACGCCAATGAGAGGGACCTATTGGAAAGCTAATGGCCAGGTCTAGTCTTGGTCGAAGACCATTTTCTTGCCTGCCAATGCTTTGCCATGCAGATCGACACTTTCTCTGCTCTTTGAGAAAATACGAGGCCGGGGGTGTGTTCTGGCTAGTAGTCGACATGTATAAGGCCCTTTGCCCACCTCTGGATGATCTTCCTTTTCTCGTACCATCATCTACTCAAGCTGCTACACTCTTTGTGAGTTCTCTCACTTTCACTCTTTTTTTGCTGTTATCAGCGTCCACTCTTTTATTACCACTCTCATTAATATCAACCACGTCACTTTCTCTTAATACTTTACGTATAATTTATACATTTATTCCGACAATATGAAGCAATCCATTATCACTTCCCTTGTGGCCCTTGCCGCTTCTTGCTCCGTAAGCGGAACCTCCACTATTTCGGATTGCAATTGGATACCAAGCTAATAATCTATGCCTGTGCATAGGGCGCCCAAGCCACTGAGAGCTTGATTAGCGTGCCCGTCGGCCTCTGTGCTGGCATCATTGGAGATGCCGAGTGCAAGCAGCAGAGCACCACCAACGGTCTCATCAATGTCCCTGTTAACGCCTGTGTGGCTGCTCTTGGCCAGGCCAAGTGTGACCAGGCCACTTCCTCCAGCAGCGACAGCGAGTCCTTGATCAACGTGCCGATCAACGTCTGTCTGGCTGTCCTCGGTGAGGCCCACTGCAATCAGGGCTCTGACTCCAACGGCGGCCTGGTTAACATTCCCATCAACCTGTGCCTGGCTGTTCTGGGTGAGGCTGATTGCCAGGATGGACCTATCCCGTCTTCCTCCACGGCTTCCACCACCCCTGTTGCTACTTCCGCTACCCCAGTCGCCTCTGGGACTGGATCTTCCATTCCTACCTCGGCGGCTACCACCACTGCTGCCCCTGTGTCCCCTATCTCGTCTAGCAGCCCTCGTCCTTCCAGTATCGCTGCTGGGCGCTCCTCCTCCGCTAGAGCCTCTTCCGCTACCACTGTGACTGTTACTCGCACCAAGACTGTCTGTGCCGCTACCTCAGTCTGCGCCGCTGCTACCTCCGTTGGTGCCAAGTCTTCTTCTCTGCACCGGTTCACCCCCACCACTGCCGCTGGTCCTTCCTCCACCGGTGTCTGGACTACTGCTACACCTAGCACTGTTCCCTTCAACGCTGCTGGACGCTCCACCGTTTCCGGTGTCGCAGTTGTTCTCGGCGCCATTGTTGTTGCTGCTCTGCAGATCTAAGACACTTTGAGCTTGCCAAAGATACCCATGACAACGAAACCTGTTGGTGGCTATTTGTAATTCTTTTCCCCGGTGGTTCTTGAGCTACTGTTGACAATTATATTTCTCTTGGTGCTAGACATGTAACTCCGTCTTAAATTCTACATTCCTTTTAATCATTTATACCAGAACACTTTTAGTAACCGTAGTACTATAATATATACACCATCATCAACCAAGCATCTCAAAAATCAATTCGAGGATGGAGTTCAACAACAATCATCCCCCAATTGCAATCCCCACTGACCCATTTGTCCCTTCACTTGATTAAGCAAGAACAACACCACCCTGGACATACCCGCGCCCAGATCGCCGGAATCGCATCACTTCGCGGAGGCACGAAACGCCAAAACAGTATCTGCATATAAAGTGAGCAAAGACGTAACCATATCAGAACGAGGATGTTGCGACCGTACATAGCCGCCAGCATAAATGGACCCGTGATGCTCATGTAGACATATTCACCCAATCCGGGAGTTAAAGAGAATACAGTACGAATATAGCTCGCGATTGAAAGAAGATCAAAAGAGGCATTGAGTAGCGGGTGAAAGATGACTCCTCTGCGGAGTAGGACAAGATGAATCGAGGCCCAAACCAATGGCAGGAAATTCTAAATGAATATTAGCCACGCACATTTTCAGCCAGCTCGAGAAGAGGTCCTTACCACAAGCATGAAAACACCCCAGGATGCTCCCACCGTCACCAAGTAGATGGGTGAAACGGAGCTGGCGGCTATGCATGGAACTCGAAGCCATTTTGATGTTGTCCAATATCCGTCATCGAATTGCGTAGGAAAATGGAAAGGCATTTTTTGGAGGACCACCAAGAGTGAAGGGAATAAAAGCAGATTTGGTTGAAAAATGAATGAGTCTGGAGCGAATGTGGGATTATAGCTTGAAGCCAGAGCCGCGTTTGTAGATCGCCCAGCACTGCCTCTGGCCCCAGGACCCCATGGCCCCATGGACCCCCTTGTTGTTTCACCCACTTTCGCACAACTAAAAGTGTCAAATTAATAATAGCTTTTACTATCCAAAGGAAATTTGCAAAGACTCATCGGGAATTGAAAAACAGCCTTACCGTTCACGCCATTCACGGCACGCCTGCCCCCGGATTTCCTAGTTGGCATCCATGGATACATTGCCACTGGAATTGATAATATAGCTTCAGGATGTTTGGACGTAGCCGATAATATATTGAAGCCTGGCGCTTCCACTGAAATGCCGCGCCCATTAAGCTCCAATGCTCACATGGACTGCCTTACAGCCTGTTGCCAGAACGCCCGTTATGAGTAAGACAGGCTTGAAGCGTCCACATAGGTGCAGGTCAGTTTAGGTGTCTTCATCAATATGCTTGTATGACACGACAATGAACCTCGAAGCACAAGTCTATGTGACCCAAATGTCGTTAATGCAATTATGCTGTATGGGGATTGGGGGACTGAACCCATTGGCGGTCGTGCTTCTGTGAGTACTTTCTAAGTCAATTTTGGGGGAATAGACAAAGGCTGTCCTCATGCAACAAAGTCACTCGGCATTTTGTCCCTTGGTCTGTCTCAAATTATCGTGTTTCACTCCAGTTGATTTTGTATTTTGTATACCTGGCAGAGTCGGTGGTTCCATCCTTCTTATTTTGTTATAGTCTTGTCTTGCCATCCTTATTGTCCTAGAGCTGTTTAATGTACGGCATCTACGGTCAGTCAACTTCACACATGTCATGCGTTCCATTGCCCAATTATCATGCCACTCCGCACTACTCAGATCACGCGGTCTCAAATGATGCAATAAAACAAGTTGATAGGCAGGTAAACCCCGCAAAGACCAGCAAGGTTCTCTAGTTCAGGTCGGTCATTGGACAATGGTGTTGACGGTCGTACCATTCGTCGACTACCCGTCGACCCGTGGACGTATACAGAATGAATTACATCACCACAGGCGTTCCCCGCATTCTGGGGTTTTATGCATATAAAGAGTTGATATTTCTGGATTGAAAGGAGTTTCTTCAATTCTTCAATTCTTCAATTATCACTTATCACAATTACTTCACACAGATTTTCCAATATGGACAATATGGACAAGTACAATTCCCAGTGGGTCTCGTTCCACATTCGGGACCACATCAAAGATGGCGAGATCCTAGTGCAGAACACTGTCATTGAAGGGTATTTATGATTCCAGGGGATTTTACCATATCTCTACTGACACCAGGCAGCGGCGAGTTTGCCGACCCCAACAACCGCCGCAGGTCGCTCACTGAAGAGGAGATCGACGAGATCAAGATCTCCCCCGATGGCGTTGGCGAGATCGGTGCTAGCAGCCGTCGCGGTAGTGAGGGCCGCCTGGACTTATTTCATGACAATGACAAGATTTGCGAGCTCCACTGGGAAAACCGTGGTGGAGAGCACGCCAACTTGGTTGAGGTGTTGGACAAGAGCGACAAGTACACCATTGAGCATGGAGGATGGAGCTCTGAGGCGGGCCCCCTGGGACATGTCTTTGTCGATGTCGCAGAGAAGAAGAAGTAATTACGCTCCACAGGCTGCATCAACTCCCTACTTGGGTGTTGAAGAGCGAAGAGCGTTGCGGTCCGTGGAGCATGAAAGGCATTCGGTGAGGGAATATTGGTATTACCAATACTGTAAACAAACCCAAAAATACCAAAAACAATGCAAAATGTCAGAAAACCAGAGTTCAAATGCATTTGAAAGGATTAGCAGCGAAAAAGGTGTATTGTAAATACGTAATAAACTCATTAACCCTTGAACAGGCAGCTAAGAGTGCCTTCCACGAACCAGTCCTTGTCTTTTTCCCAGGCGTGGACGATCAGATCTCTTCCCAACCTCACCACCTCCTCGATTTGCTTTTCAGTGCCCCACCCAGGGACTCTACTTCCCCAGCAAATCAGGTGCACACCAACGTGGATGGCAGTGCGGAATGCCATTTCATCGTTGAGGGCCCCATATCCCTCCAAGAACCCTTGGATAATCCACACTCCACCGTCCAGATTCTTGAACAGCTTTGTTTCATACAGCTCAGCAATCATTTGGCCCAAGTCTAGTGCGCGGCTTCCAATCTGTGCCAATTCCCAATCGACAATGAACATAGCCGTCTCACACTGGCGGGTGAGAGGAACATTTGGAATCAGTACACTAGAATCAAGTCAGTCTGGCTCGCTTCATGGAGTTTAGATCCAGGGGAGCATACTTTCCAGTCCAGAAGTCACCGTGAATAACCCCATATCCTTCATCATAGTTCTGACGTTCGAGCTCTGCTGCAGCGAGGTCGCGAACCTCCTCAAAAATATCACGATCCTTCTCTAGAATATCGGGAAAGTTTTCAATAGTGTTCATGAGCATAGTATAGTTCGCCCAGAACTTCAATTCTTTCATGGCTTTGTTCTCGCCAAGAAGTTTTGTAGATTCCACTTGCTGTTCCTCGGCTGTCCAATGGTGAAATGATCTCAGCCAGGATCCAAGGGCGCTACCCAAGGCTCGCCCTGAGGATTCGGACAAGTCACGGGAGACCTGTGAGAGCAGGAAGGTCTTTAGGTCGACTGAATTTGGAAGATCCTCGGATACCTGGGTGTCTGTTTCCCGATTGAAATGCAATAAGCGTGGTGTCTTGGCGGTTATGCTGCCATTTTTATACATTGCCAGGCCATCGAGAGCCCGAAGAATAGCTACCTCGAAGTGCTAGCTTGAGATCAGTATAGCTGGCAGCAGGTCATTCAATGGATTGCAACTAACGCATCTCGTGACATCGATTTTAAAACCTGAGTTAGAGGCCGAGTGATCTTTAGTATGCTTGATAATGATAGATTGTCCAGTTGAGGCAAGTACGCCACGATAGACGAAGTTGGCTGTGCCTCCAGACAGACGCGTGAGTGAAGAGCATGCAAAGGGAGTGGGTGAAAGTTGCTGTGCAATTTTATCCCGTGTTTCATCCTGCTCAATAGTGCTTGCCATGTTGTATGATTTCTTTCAAAGTTGTCGAAGATTTCAAGAATGATTCCACACAAATGTTCCCTCCAGATGTCTCTAGACCGAAAACGCGCTAGTACGTATACGGTCCCCGCATTTACAGTGAAGACATCGAGAGTCCCAATGTACAATGTATCAAGCATGTTTGTACGGAGTACTCCAATCCAAACACTGTTCATATAAAAACTTGACCACACGCCAGAGAATTAACCAATGCACCATATGGAGAGGTCAGGCCCCTCTGGTCTGAGTCCTGGCAAAGCTCGCGAGCACTCAACCTCAGCCCGGAGTGGTGCCCACAAAAGGTACTGGGGCCCTGTGCAGTGGGTTAGTCATCACAAACATTCGGGAGCCCTTCCAACGCGGGTGGACGCGTCCACTGCCCAGGTGCAGCTCATAAAAGCGGCAGCCAAGATAGGTTAACCTCCTCTCTCGCCACCATGGCTAAATTCTCCATTGAGAGATAAGTTCGCATTGGAAATGCTATAAAAGCGTATGATGAGCGCGATAAAGTAAAGGTCGCAGCATTGGCCCGGGAATTCGACGTTCCGTACAATATGCTTCGCAGACGAATTCTCGGCATGGGCCCTAACAGAGGGGGTGCTGCGAGACTTGATCCTGCCCAAGAGAAAGAACTAGATGACTGGATGATTTCCCTGGAGTCTGGAAATACTCCTGCTACCCCTGGCATGGTAGAAGGCGAGGCAAATCGCATACTTGCTCGCGCTGGAGTCGAGACACAGGTTGGCCGCAACTGGCCTTACAGATTTATTGCTCGCCGTCCTTCACGGCGGCCCGACCTACCACGGCCATTGAGCGCACTCAATAGCTCTGCGCGGAATAAAGACCAAATAAAATCAAAGATTCGGAAGGCTATAGAATTACTTGAAGAAGTGGCTGATGATCTTGATAAGCTCAACCCGAAGCTGCGAGACCGAGTAACTGGTGTCCTCGCTGCCGGTTAACAGAGCCGGACGAGGTTCCTCAGTCTGAGGATCAAAGCCGCGAAATGCCAGCGCGCCAGCGGAGGGGCAGGAAACCAGTGTCACGGCGTGTCTCCGCACTTCAACCCGAGGAATTGGATGAAGATTAGAGACGTGGACTTTCTGAAACTCCTATGGCTGTTTCCTCCACCAGTCAACATACCGCCAAACGAAAGATCAGTGCCGATCCAGCATCCAGAGGGAAGCAGAAAGAGGCTTGTGTAGACGATACTAGATGGGAGAACTATGTCATACGCATAAGAGATCAAGTGTCGTCTACAGTTATCACGCCGATTTCAAAGAATCCCTTGGATATACACATTGAACCAAGTGACTGTGAATTACACCCTCATCACCCCCAGCTGACCGGTGAGATTCCAAGGTCGTGACCAGGAAGACCGGGGCATGGATTGATCACCTGGATATTTCATTTGCAAGCCAATATGATCCAAAAATATTCGTCCTCTCCTTACGCATAATCATCAATCCGGTAAAGGATAATCAACTTGTCGGGGAGGTCTGGACCCATACCGCACATGTGGAAACGGAGTCTTCGTGTGAGAGTGTACAGTGGGACCTCCGAAATATTGGGCTAAACCTTTGTACCTAGATATACCACTCTACATACCGCCTGCCAACTACTATAAGAAGTGTCGGCCACGTAGTCTTCTTAGTGGCCTTCTTAGGTAGTCTTCTCCGATAGGCCTTTCATATGTCTTTTCAGTGGTCTCTCCTGGCGGTCTCCTTAGGTATATACCTTTGACTACAAATCTCTCCATACTAGATCACGTAGATACACGCTAACTATATTAAGAGTTTTAGACTGGCAGAACCGGCAGAATTTGGAGGTATATCTTGTTTATCCCAGTATTTCGGAGGTCCCACTGTACAAGTTGCTCATCAACCAGAGACGTGAGACAAAAAAAAAAACGAAAAGAACGCATCAAGTTAACAATGGTGTCTGTATATCAATATAAAGTCTCAAGTAAAAGCACATACCCCGTATTCCATGCTAGAATTGCAGCACGATAAAGAAAGAAAGAGGGGGACAAAAGGAACCCTAGGCAAAGGAATACTGTTCGAAGTCGAGATTCACTCAGTATTCATCTTCATCGCGGTGCCTCGAATGGCTGGCATGACGAGAACTATGAGAGTGCCCGCTATGACCGCTGTGACTGCTATGCCTCGAATGGCTCCGATGGCCATGATGATGGTGGTGGTGGTGACGGTGACGGCGATGATGATCATGTTCACTATCATCGTCATGCTTCTTGTGATCCTTCACTTTGTCCTCCAGGAAGTTCCCAAGTAGAGCACCGCCAATCGCACCCAGCAAGCCATGTTCTTTCTTATGACCAAGGTAATAGCCCGCCATGCCGCCAGCGAGCGAACCGCCGAGCCCACGGTCCATACCCCGGTCAGTGTCGGTGTCTGTATCGGAGCGCTGTTCGCGAGTGTGCTGCGAATCTTCTGGTTCGGATACATAGACGGCGGGAGGGTGGGGACTTGCGGAGGGTGTGTACCGTGGTTTGTCGGCTGGATGGTCGTTGCTAGGGCTCAGCATTAGTGTTGGTTCTCACAGCTGGGAATGTATCGCCCAACTCACTAGTATTCTGCGTTCTCGGGGATTCTGTCTTGCGCATGTTGATATCCTGTTGAAGTCACTGGCCCAAGGTAGTCTGGCTGCCCTGTCGGCGTATGGCTTCTCTCCATGGAGGATCCATATGGCTCGGGCGCAAGGTGGTATGAACTTTGCTGTGGAGCATAGGCCTGGTTTGGGTTCGGACTAGGCTGATAAGGCTCTGGTCCGGGGTTGTATTGCTCTGATTCGGGGTAATGGTACGGCTCTTGGTTTCCGTATGGCTGGCCATATACCGGGTACTGAGGCTGACCTTCTGGGGGATAGTAGCCAACCCCGCTCGGCGTAGGGGTTGAGTGTGAGTTGTAAGCGTTGTATGGATCTGCCATGATGATGAGATACGTCAAGGAAATCCTGTCGCATTAAGGACAGAAACACGAAAAGGGTTTTATGTAGGCATGTCAGCCAGATGACTAGTGGGGTTATACATCATGGTGCGGCTGACCTGCCCGCACGACCCTCGATCTTCCACAGGGACATTGGAATGCACCTACTCTCCAATCAAGTACTGATCACTTGCTTCTCTGCATATGTACGGTCGAGGGATGTGCCTTGTAATATTTCTTGGTTTTTCTAAGAAAATATGTTTGGCAACTGATATTGCATTGATATATGCCAGTCCATTAACCTTGAATGACAAGATGTGAAAGAAACAAAACTGAACACGGATGAGTCGGGGTATTCCGGGTGAAAATCGAGAAAAAAAAAGAAGCATGGTGTAAATAGAGCTGGCCGTTAAGACGTTCAGGGTCACATCGCTCCCTAGGGCGATGGAAAAATGCAGAACAAGAATTTGTGCCAAGCAGTGGCATCAAGATACAAACGAGAAGGGAAAAAAGTGAAGGAAAGAATGAGGGCCGGCCAAAAGTGATGCGCCCAGCACATTCAAAGACATCCTGGCCTTCATCGCCGTGCAAGGCAGACCGCCTGGCAACACATGGGGTTTCAAAAGATTGATGCACATTTTGGTCACACTGGTGGACTCTGAATGCCACGAGTCGAGTTCGAGCTCTTAGCCCGCTGTGACATCCAGTTCACAAGCATTTCGTCAAGCTGATTATTCATCTCCTTGAGTCTCTTGCTTTCCTCCTTGAAGAGACGACCGGTGATTGGGTGGTCAGGGCCAGCAGGAGGTACATTTGATTTGTCGTGGACAATAATAAACAAATCGCGAATGTCGTTTTCTTCGTCCATGTAGGAGCGTAGACTGGAGTCGCTCCACGTCGGGGTGTCCACAGAAAGCCTATCGACTGAGGCCGGGGCAGCCGTGCTACCCTTGAGGTAGTTAACGTCCTGTCCGGGTGATAATGGTGGAGACGGTGGCGAGAGAGAGCGTACCTCTCGAGAAGACGTATTGTTTGTTGAGCCGTGCGCGCTCATGGGGGAATAAGTCTCCACGGGTGAGATATTGACAGGGGACTCCGACTCATCTCCAGCCACCAGCGTAGGAACGAATTTCTGGGGTGGAGACGTAACAGACGCTGGCCCAGCCGTTGTACGGTCTGGATCATTTGGTTCTCTCCATTGAGCTTCACTGGATGGTCGGTCAACAGGCGACTCCAGGGGGTCCATGGATTCGAGCGGAGTAGCAAAGGGGTCCTTGGAAGGACTCGATTGGCTAATAGGTGATTGTAACACAATTCCACAGTCTTCATAGCTGCTTTCTCTTTCTTCTTGCAGTGGCACCTGTCGGATGCCCTTGTTGCCCTGACCCTGGTGAATGGGCTCGTTGCCCCTGGCGAACTCGGCCATTGTAGGGTCAAGGACTGGATCAACCTTCATGATTCCTGGAGGCTGCTTGTGTAGCTTGTTGTTCGAGATTTTCTGGGGCTTAGAGGGTCGTTGTTGCTCGGGGGACACAGACTTTGATGAGACAGACTCCAACGAGGTCTTGGGTTGGGGTGATGTGCGGAATGCCGACTCTGCAGGAGACCTCTCTGGGTCGTCAATGTCATCTTTGCTCTTCTTGCGCTTGAATAACCCGCTGAGCATTCCAGGTTTTTTGTCTTTTCGCTTCTTCTCCTCTTTCTCTTTGATTTTGTCCTGTGAGTTAGAGCCCTTCTCAAGGGATTCCAAGCTTCCACGAGGCTTCACCAAAACGTCAGCCAACTGATCTGTTGGATAAACCCACGATGGGGAACATACCTCTTTCCACTCAGCCAAGGTGTTTGCGCTATTTTCATCGCGAATATCGCGCAGGAGATTTGGTGTGAGAGAAATCTTCTTGGGCTCGGCCGTGTCATCTTTGAAGAAGGAATCGGTGTTCCGTACAGTGCCATTTCTGGATCTACTGACGGTGGGTTCTGCTTTGTAAAAGTGAGTTCCAAATACGATCCAAGAGCAGTTGGGTTGAGTGTGCTTACCTTCGGCCTCAAAGAATTCTTCACTAGGCGGGCGTCGATCAGAGCTTGAGCGCTGCGAATCGGGTTTCTCCGCACCGTTGGCATCGGCATGCTCTGTAGGGGTTTCTTTCTGGGCTTTGGGCCTAAGAGGTTCCACGACAATATTTTCAGCTTGCTCTTGCACGTCTTCCTCTTCGCCATCCAGAGTCTCGTCATCGTTGAAAAAGTCGCCATGTTCGGAATCTTCGTCCGTTGAGTAGTCGACATCGGAGGCGTCGATGTACGTTGGGCACCGAAGTTGACAGTCTTCGCATTCCGACGGCGCATGGCCTTTTTCAAAGGGTTCTTCGACTTTTCGTTATTGTCGCCCAACATGGTCGCTGACAGATCCACGTTTCTGTGCTTATTCAATCTAGCAAGCCTTTCGGTCGGTGTTTCGATGTGTTCCGCAGGGAGGTAACCAATGCTGCCATCCTTCACCACGCGCACAAGCCACCAGTAGCTGTTGCTGTCGTCGAGAAGGACCATAGTATCACCCTTTGCGGCATTTGCTTGCCCATCGACCGTTGCGACGAAATTGTGAAGCGCATATACGAACTCAAAATCGATGTCCTCTGTATAACATCAGTTAACGCCCGATTCATGCCTATAATTCCCAAGGGTCCGTACCATCATCGATAGAGGGTGAGCTGGAGATTTTGTCCATCATATCATCGTCCATCATGTCATCGCTTTCGCCGTCTGCCAGATCGCCATCTTCATGGTCATAGTGATTTTCATCCTCATCGTCTTCCTCGTCATCTGGTTCTCGATACACCTCCTTGTCACCACGGTATTCGTGGTTTTTGTCCGGTCCGCCATTGATCTCTGTTTGTGAATCTTGTTCGGCGTGACGAATGGAAAGTTCTTGATGGGGAGCAGGCCGGCCGCTCCCAAGAGGGTCTGGATGTTCGGGTTGTTTGGTGTGATCTTTGGCGGAAGGGGTATCGTGATCTTGAAGGTCCAAGGTATCTAGAGGTAGCGGTCAACACCTTCAACTTCGAACCAATTGGCCTCGCGCCCAAGAAGAGTTTGACCTACCAGCTCGGATCATCTGAGGTCTAGTCATGTTGCAGTGTAAATGAGTGTGGTATCAAGAGCAATGGTGTTGGAACAAGTCGTGAGCGCAAGGAGTGACTAGCGATCCAGGAACATGGAAGTTAGAAGACAAGCGCGGGACAAAAGGCAATGCGCGAGCCTCCAGATTTCCTGTATCCAAGTAATACACGAATACTACACAGTTAAGAAAAAAAAAAAAGTCGACCGGGGTTCGCGAGCACTGGATGAATTGGTCTGAATGAGAGACAGTGCCTTGAGAGAATAGTGGGGGCTGGTCTGCACTTCGGTCCAGCACGGAGGTCGACACAATGAGAAAGAAATTACTGCCAGAGCGACAAGGAGGGAAAGAGAAGGTGACAAGAAGAAAGCAGAACAAAGAGTTGACTGCCAAGGCGACGTCGAGTCTGAATAGTAACTCCTTTCACATCTCCAAAAGGCAAAAGGAGGTATTCCCAAACAAGCGCCCCTTGCGCGCGGTTAAAACCATTGACCCCTGAACACATATGCAGACACGCAAAAATGGCCGACTGGCCAGAGCTTCTTATGGTTATATTGGCCTTGGTATGTCTACTATTCTATTATAAATATACGGGCTTTTTCTAGGCAGTTTAAGTATAGACAATATCTCGGCACTTTTATCCAGACTACATGACACTGTGGAGAAACGATCAAAAGTAATACAATATGTCCATGGGGTATAAGGATTATATAATACTTACCGGACATGCCGCTATTTTGCACTGTATAAACACCTAGGAAAATTAGGGCCAGGGTTGCCTTTTAGTCAGGTGACTTGGGATTCTCATGATCTTCCGGTTTTCCCCGATTTGCCTTCCCCTCTCAGTGACCGAACTACTTGACGAATACCTCACTTTCAGTTCTCTCTTACTACCTTTGTTTGTACCCACCGTGTTTCATCTCGATTTTTTATTATCTGCATATTCAAGTACAAAACCCCTTCAAAACCCTCCTCAATCACAGCTTCCTTTACATCACCACTATCTCAAACGTTCTGTCCCCACTTTTGCCGCTATCACCCCACAATTACAATCATCTTCAACGCCATCACGAAGCATACCGTAAAAAAAAGGGTCAAGCAGAGGGTTATATAACCCTACTGCAAGCCTATCACGGCTGACAATACGACAATTTCCGTCTCCTGCTCCTTGTTAGGGCATGGCACATAACGAGAGGGCCGGATTGGCAAGTGGGTTGGCAGGGTTAAGGATTGAAACGAAGTTCCACGAGCGGAGCAAACCCAAATGGGCAAATGAAAATGTTGGGAGGGAAGCGACAACAGTGGGCGATGGTATCGAGAGCGATCACACCAATCAATCTCATGATTATGCGCGTCGCCACGATACTGATGAAGACCGCAGTTTGTTAAATGATCTACACTCAGCGACCCCTCCCATATCCGTCCCTCGCCACGATGAGCAGCGTCACTTAGATGATGCCGACAACTTCCCGCACAAGCCCGACGACGTGCAGGGCTCCCCTCTTGACAGCTATCTGCACACTCGTCGACCCTCCATCTCTTTCAATCCGAAGGTCTCTGTGGAGTCCGGTAACCAAATCCCACTGGAAGAGCCACTGTCGATGGGAGATGTGAAGAGCCGACCACCACAAAGATTTGAGTCTCGTAGCTCTGGGCTCCGGAATGCGCTTTCACAGGATGATGATCATGTCGAACCGAACCATCAGTCCCCGACCTGGAGTCCTAAGCGATCTCTAAATCGGAGTTTCCCGACCGGGCAATCCCGAGCACAGCCCTTCGCGAGATCTGAGAATGGCTCGGCCACGGGCTCAGAGCCCGATCGTCCGACGTCCCTGACATCGCAGTCGACGGTATCTCCGGTCACGGACGAGGTTCGAACCCCTCCCGATTACTCCAGCCACACGTTGATGTCGCCATTTTGCGCGCCGTCGCCAACTCAATCCTTTGCATCGCCCGAAGACCGCAGCAGCTCTTGGTCAGGAGGGATCGCAACACCCTTCGGGAGCAAGCGCAGCTCTGCTCTCGATCGCAGCAGCAGTCTTCGGAACTCCACGCGGCACAGTTCTCGACGATCGACTAACTCGAGTGGCAAGTCGCCGGCCAGCATGTTCCTTTCCATGTGGAACAACGTTGAAGAGCCTGCTCCCCTACCTGATGACGAAGGTCAGATGGTGGGAGACGACTATGTCCTGGGAAAGCAAATCGGGTTTGGGGGTTTCAGTGCGGTGAAAGAGGCCTATAAGGCTGAAAAGCACGGTGAAACCAAAAGACTTGCCGTGAAGATCGTCAAAAAGCAGGTTACGGGACGAAGCGAGCATGAAAACGACCAGGTGCAAGCCGAGTTCGACCACGAAGTACGAGTCTGGAGGTACCTCAGCCACCCGCATGTATTGACGCTCGATGCCGTGTACGAAACAGATTACGCCACGTTCTGCTTCACCAAACTTGCTATTGGTGGTACTCTCTTTGACCTCGTCCGCCAAAATCGATCTGGTCTCGATACGCAATTAGCAAAGAAATATGCATACCAACTAGCATGCGCAATCCGTTACCTGCACGAAGACGCCCGCGTTGTTCACCGAGATATCAAGCTAGAGAACTGCTTGCTAGATCCTATCAAGTCTGCTGATGGTACGACCTCTTCGACCTTGGTACTGTGTGATTTCGGAATGGCGGAATGGATGTCCATCGACAACGGTGGTGACTCTCCCGACCCATACGAGGATGCCGCTGACCGCCCGCCGCCTCAACAAATCGGCCCTGCCGGATCTAGTACCAGCGTGGCGGGTAGTCTGGAATACGCATCACCCGAACTGCTACAATCAGTGGACGGTGTCATTCACCCTTCAGTCGACGTCTGGGCCTTTGGCGTCATCGTATATAGCGTGATCGTCGGCTCACGGCCTTTCCAAGACGCTTTCGCTCCTCGCATACAAGCAAATATTCTCAGCGGCACCTGGGATCGTAATGCCGTATTGGGCGACAATATGGACGGCCACCTTCGACAAGATCGCCAGTATGCCCTTGACTTGATCCGCGGCTGTCTCGAAATGGACCCCGACAAGCGTTGGACTATCCGCGATGTACTAGCTTCCCCCTGGCTACGAGAGGTTCATGAGACAGCCGAACCCTCACCCGATACTGTATGGAGGCTGTGAACTTTGCCCGTCCTTTCTTCTATTGGGTGATTAGCAATCCCCATATCCTGCTCTTATACTTGCACCTCAAGGGCAGATGAGATTCTTTCAACGTTTTAACGTCAATTTCCTATGATGTGATGGCTCTCTTTTTTTCCGGCGCTGAAGATTCAACAAGCGCCGATGCTCTCGGGGCCCTTGAAATCACTATGATACCCCTCCGTTTTGTTTTTAGTCCTTTTTTGTTTTTGCTTTTTTACTTTGCGTTGGCTCAAGACTGCCATCATGTGCACTGTTTTCATGTGCACCTCTTTTCGTTTTTCGCTTTTCCACGATCTAGTCTCAATATCCCTCTTCGAAGCGCGTTCTTGACTATTGATTCTTGCCCTCTGGTTTTGGCTTTGGTTTGGTTTGGTTCTGGTTTAGGCTTTGGTATCACGAGACGGACGATTATGATTTACTTTTATAGCAGGCGCGGCATTGCATCTTATTATTGCCATTTGGTCGGACATTGCATGAGCATTCATCACTTCGGTTTTGTTTTGTGTGGTCAACTTAGCTTGGTCATTCGCTTCTACTGCTGTACTTTTATATCTGCGGATCTTTGATTCCTTTTTGCTGATCTGGCTTTGTCTTCTCTACTCAATTTGATGGGATATCTTCCGGGTGGCTGGACTATCCTGAGTACGGTACAAGACACAAATAACTAAGCTACATAATGTTGTACTTCATTCTGCAATTTACGAAAGTAGTCGGCTCCTCCTGGCCTCTGTCCTTGGCAGCATAGGACTAATAAACTGATCTGTCTAGATCAAAATAATAGTATGGACGTTTCATTTAAGGAGACGTTCGGATGTCTTGCGATATAGTTTATCTATCTTATTACCCAGGGATGTGTTCAATTCATAAACCTCGAGATGCTTATAAGTTACATATGTAATCCGCATAAAGAAAAATCTCTTTAGGAGGGCAGAAAAGAGAAAAGAAAAGGCCAAGAAGCATCGAATTGCAAAGCCTAACATATCCAACAGAACATATTTATACATGTACAGCAGACCAGTCTGAACCAGCCTTTAAAAAACAGTGCCGAACGAAACTGACCAACAAATGGAGACCAAGTAAGAGATCCTCCCAAACCCTCTCAAACCTACCAAAGCCTATTTTCAGGCAGAACCTTCTCCTTCTTAACACCAGCAGCAGACTTCCTCTCCTCGGAAGAGCGGAAGAACAAACTAGGTCCCTCAAGCGGCTTAAGCAGATGCGAAAGATATCCCCGATGCGCAGGATCACGGTAATACTCAATATCTTTACGCTTCGTGGGATCCGGCAGCCGGTACTTCAATTGCTGGTTGTTGACCACAGTACTCCACTTCATCCAGGCCGCCGTAGGCCGAACCTTAGCGAGTTTGTAGAGCTGCTCAGAGCCACTCTCGCGCGCCCACGCAGCAGACAGGAAACTGTGCGTCTCGCCGTCCAGAATACGGCGGATAGAAGGCCGTGTGTAGTAGCGGGTAGTCACTGAGCCGCCGGCGCCCTCGATGGCTGCGATGGCGGAGGCGGAGACGCGCGAGGCAACGACGTGGATTGGTTGTTTCAGGGCTTCGGCGCCGTCGCCGAGGATCTTGAGGCCGTCGATGGGTCGGCCAATGCACCCGCTCTTGTAGAGCTCTTTCATTGTGATCGGTTGTTTGGGGTTAATGCGGCCTTGGTCGATCCAGTATTGGAGACGGTCGAGGTTGACGGTTGCCATGTCGACGGAGAAGCTGGATTCAGAGAGGGTTTGATTAGAGATGTGATTTTGGGAAGGGGGTTGTTGTGTTTGATAATGGAGGACGACTTACATGTTCACGCCGCCGCGCTCGCCGTGCACGATGA